AAAAAAAAAAAGAAAGCATAAGAAACCATTTCAATTTGTAAAAAGAACCCAAGAGCTTTCAAGGCCACTGCCTCGAATTACCCCCATCCCCTCAACATTCCATTCATGTTTTTTTTTTCGCAAGGGTGCAATGCCGTATTTTATTGTCTGGAACATGTGATGGCGAGTGTGTGACACAAAAATTTCACCAAGGTTGTTTTTTTTTTTAGACTAATCCCCATGAACGCGGCCGTTACCCGAAAAAGTGGGCTTTCTATCACTGGGAATTGAAATGAGGTTTTTTGACACTGCACAATGGTTTGCATCTTTGCGAAATGAAAAACACCTCATCTCTACTCCGAGTGAAGATGCAGCACACGCTTGAAAAAAAAGAACTCTGTAAAATTCTTGCCGCGGGGTTTCATTAATACTTTTTCGATTCGTGTGTCGAAGGGAAAAAGATTGTGGAGAGATTAAAGCGAAAGTTTAAGAAGAAATCGTACCTTCCTAGATTTCTTCCTCGTCTTCTTCGTTATTGCAGAGCATGGTCTGGATCAGCTCAAATATGGATAAAACAGACACACCCAAAAGCATTCCCAGGGTGCCGCCGATTTCTCCGACAAACCCGGTGAAGTCGTATGACCAGACTTCTTCCAGCTTTTCAATGTTCATGGAAAAGCGAAATTCGACTCTGGAGACAGACAATTGACGTCGCACGGCATCAGTTTCCGTCTCTGGCATATCCAGAATTTTCCCACTCACAGACGGGAAATACTCATTCGTGCGACACCTTGGAATAAATGAAGCAACAATAATCAATCCAAAGGAATAATACAGTATGCAATACTTCTTATTGTTGACAAAATGCGAGTCAGATGAGACAGTTTTCAGAATTCAAAACAAGAGTGAAAATGTTGATGAAGATCAAGCACAAGGGAAGAAAAGCTCATCAACTGATCTTTAAGAATTTACTAAGATATGATATGATCTTTAAGAAAATGTAAAATAAGACAGAAATGACATCTGAAACATCATGATGGTGACATCTACCCACACTTAAAACAGTTAGACAAAAGATTCACCACTGTATATTGTGAGGACTAATAAATAATCATTATCAACTGCGGCACTGAGGAAAGATAATCATTAAAATGTACCTCTCTGGACATGGACAGTCTATTGCAGCAACCATTTTGTGAACCCTCATGGCCTCCTCCATTTCAGCTTGGTCTTGACATTGTCTCATCTTCACTCTGAAGAACCTCTTCTGTGATAACCAAGGCGGACGGCATCTGAAAGCTGGATGCTTTTCCAGCCACTTCATTCTGAAGTCATCACAGCACTGGAAAATACAAGGAATATTCATGAAACACATGGACAATTCAGGATCAATTTTCACACATTTCAAAATAATGCAAAGCCAATGGATATTGCAAAGCAAGTACTGTATACAATTATTACTTCTGTTAATTTAAATAAAAACCAAAATCTATCCTTCACTTGAAGATGCTATAACTGAACTATTTTTTCCTGGACACCTGGACAGAGAAAATGATCTTGGATCAAACATACACAAGAATCTTAAATATATACAGTACAGCTAAGTACAGCAAATGTACTGTTACATGGCTGACCAAAAAAGCTTGAATTATATCAACACAGAAATGGACAAATACCATCACTGGTCAACACTCTTGGAAAACTCCTCACCTTTGCAGAACTGGAATCCTCATAACCAGTGCAAGGCCTTTGCTTCTTACTCAGCTTGAACTTTTTCCTGATCTTGACCATTATTGGATACACCTTCCATTCCTGAACAACAATATTTTCTCTGTAAACTGCTGAGAAGGCACACATCCTCTGCTCTCTGGAGTCCACCAAAGACACATGCCAACCAGGGTTTGCTTTCAGATCATCAAAATGCACTTTTGGTGGCAAATGGGAGTACAGTTGAAGGATCAAGTAAGGTTGCTGTTGGTAGTATTTACCAATAGTGAAGGTCATGTTTGGATAGAACACCAGGACTGGTCTTGGTACCATGAGATCTACATCATCAATGGCCACTCTGGAATACACATTCTTCCTCACAAAGGACCACAGAATTCTCCATTCTCCACCTGCCATTGAAAACACCTTACAGTAAAAATGATGACCCAAAAATACAAATGAATGGTTCAAAATGTTTGCCACTGCCTTTAAACAAAGTTTACTGAGTCAAGATCTCCCTAACTTGAGTAAGATCATCACCAAGACTTCAGAAAAGCCTACATTCAGTTTTCTGATAACTTATGTACTCTCCTTTTCAATAACGCCAAAAGTTGGGAAAATGATCACATATCCCCCAAGTCAAAATCCAAAGGAGACTGATGAGAATTATGAACCACTCCCACAGCAAACCCTCACCTGGAACCTTAGCAACAAATAATTCCTCATCAGAGTCCCACTTCCAGTCTGATGGCTGAAATTTGCATACTATCACATTTGAATTGTCACAACGCTCCACTATCAGGTCATGGATGAAAGACAGGCTGCCATAGAGTTCACGCCATGGGTTCACACCAGTCTGGTTTGGGTCCATGGTCAGGATACCCAGTCCTCTGGGTCCTGACCCACTCATCAAGGTCTTTATCCTTACAGTGTTGCCAATATGTGTTGGCTCTCCAGTTATGTCGTACCTGCATTAAGAATTAAAAAACCAGTAAATTACAATGGGTCCATGCATGGCTCACAAAACTAGTCCATACGTAACATGAATTTTGCCTTCAGTTATAATTGAAAAATACAGTAATTAATCTGTTCCAGACACTCGCAAAACATCCTTGATATACATAATGCCTCGAAAAACTGCATTTAAGCAAGTTATTAGTATGAAATTCAATTATAATAAAAATGTCAATCCTCCTGAAATTCAAAATTTTTATTTGTTGCTTGAAAAGGTAAAAGCATTACTTTCACAAATTTAAATTGGGGACGTTTAATTTGACAAAATTCAACTGCATTATTATGATCAATTTCTGTACAACAAAGACCACCACATTGGACTTACAGTACCATCATTTAAAAGTGAATAACCTCACTTTAATAAGGGAGTAAAGGCATCAAAACTCTTATATTCTTGAGAGCCTCAAATTTCTCCAATAAATTCAAATTTCTTCAATCAATTAAATTTTTTTCAGTGAGTTCAAATTCCCTCAATGAATTCAAGTTTCTTCAATAGATACAAGTTCATGCAAACAATTAAAATTTCAGCTATAAATTCAAATTCCAATCAGTTCAAATTTCCTCAATAGATTCGAAGTTCTCCAATAAATAAAAAAATTCTTCGATGAATAAAATATCTAGTCAATAAAGAAAAAAAGGCCTTCATCAAGTAAGAAAGTCTTCAATAAAATAACATTTTCATCAGCGTCTCCTCCTTACCTAGAGACAAGAACATAAAAATACCCCCAATCAGAAGTTATGAATATTTCAAAGGGTGAACACTCATACACACATATTTCATTTAAGACGTGCTAGCAAAAGTTATGGTCCCCCAGTACTGAAAAGTACGTTAAATGAATGGCCACCTGGGGATGAAAAGCCGGTCCCTCCTCAGCACCAGCGAATTAGCTGAAGATTCATTAGTCTTGAACGGATAATAAGGCTCCTCAATCAAAACTGCGGGCAAAGGAATGACTTCGACATCAGCAGGAGTCACCAGAGTTGAAATAGGGGCAGACTCATACTTGTCAATGTACTGCCAAGTCTAGACCAAAAAAAATGAAGAAAAGATATACAGCATTAGATTCTTCAAATTTACTAAGAGGAGTGGATTTATCACAGCACAGTACCTGGTACAAGGCAACACCCAGTGAAGCCATTAAAGTTGATAACCAGAGAAACAGTCTCAGGTTCTGTGGCCTGTCTCCAGACACAAGGCTCCATAATTTCAGTGAATAATTGCACAATCTTGTTTTCTTTGCAGCCTGAAATGTCTTCTTGAGACTCAATTCCTCAACTGGTTTGCTGCCTTTTTGTCTCAAACGCTTTGTTGGACCACTTTCAGCAGCATTTATACAATCTACTGGATCAATGACTGAGTCTGTTACCAAATGGTCTTTTGGTGAGTTCACTTGAAGTGGGGACACTAGCATTTTGCCAATGTTTTGCAATACATTTGATAAAGGCAATAAACTGTGTTTCAGCAGAAATCAGAGCTTCCACACTTTCAGGTCTTCTGATAGAAAAAATTGCTCATACAACAAGACAGCACATTCCCTTAGGAATAAGACATACACCACTTTTATAAAGTGGTATGAGGGCTGATCAATAAGTTCTGCCAATTGTGAGATTCCTCATTTGGGCTTTGATTTTAATGGAAGAATATGGATTTTCAAGTGTAAGACCATTCCTACACGTACTACTGTATTCAAGAAAGTACCATGCAAATGGGTAGAAGATGCAAACCAGCATTTGGACTTGAAATTCAAGAAAAATCCTTTCCCTTTTCATTATTCACATTCTAGTTTTCAGTCACAAAAATTTGCAATTAGGTAACTATAGAAGTAGTCTGAATCCAGGCTCAAATAAAGTTTGTTTCAGTTGATTTTTTATTTGCAATTATTTTTATTTGGGCTTTAGAGGTTTAAAAAAAATACAACCTCTGGAAAAGTTGACACAGCGCACTAAAGCATATTTTCTTGAAAAATTTTTACCTGGGTAGAACAAGTACCAAAAATTGTGAAAAAAAAAATGATTACATGGTACTTGAGTAAATACTTTACATTACAGTAATTTCAAATTCAGGTCTCAAACATCCTTGAAATGAAGACTTATTTTTAAAAACCATTCCTATGAGTAAAAAAGAAGCATATTGAGCTTAATTCTACTTCTTGGTAAATTTGCAGGTGTTCCAAGTGCAACTAAATATTTGAAATAATTTAAAAAATATTCTGATTACTATGTTTAAAAACTTTCTTACAACTGTTAGTTAGTTAGTTTACATTCAAATCATGCAGAACTGTTACCAGCTGTCCTAATAAGTCAAGGAGCGGAAGTCATAATAAGGGCGGAAAAACTCAATTACTCAGTGAATGTAAAGGGTCTTGCTTCAGACCTTTCTAGTAATTCTACACTGATTTGGATGCTTCTCGCCAAGAAACTCAATTCATACATTCAAGCTCAATTCCAAGATGTTGACGAAACTTTAGAACTGTTCCTTGAATGCTCAAGTTTTCACGAGCCTCCATCAATTCACACTATCCAAGAAAGAATCAATGCATGAATTTAATTTAGAAAAAGTCCATCAAGAGTCGTCTTGCTAAAGAATTCAATCCAATCAATCCTGGGAAACATGAATTATTCATCAAGGAAGTCCAGACAAACGGGAAATCGATTTCCGTGCAAAACTTTATGCATACGTTTCGACACCTCCAACATGTTAAATTCACGCATTTTCCTCCATCTTCCGCTTGATGGCATCCATGGCAGCACTGATTCCGAAAAACGTAGCGGTGCCAACGGGCTTAATGAATTTGGCGGGCAACACGAAGCCATAGCGACCCGAAGACGGAGGCAACTCCAGGGTGTAAGCGTACGGAAATCCAGCAACTCCGTGCGCCCAATCCATTGAAGTCCCAGTCGCAACGTCTTATAATCACGAGAAAAATACAATAGATGGAAATATGAGCATTGGTTCTTAAGTTTTGAGACTTTTCGAAATAGATCCACCCTGTTGGGGAACCAGAACTCGGGCCCAGGGACGTCAGACTTCTTCGATACGCATTTCGTCCGCCAATCACAGGCGAGAAAAAAACGTCCAATGCTTCAGTCAGGTCAGCTGACAGAAGCATTGTGCTAAATTGCATAAAAACCCAGCACTCTTTCACTCCCAATAATCAGTCCTTAAAATTAGCTCTTACAGTAAACTTCCCTCAAAACATTCCATCCCCAATTCTTCTGATTGAATTGTTGCATTGCATTATTGCACCCTAAATTTGTGTGCACAAATTTAATGTTTTTATTGGATGTGTTTTGCATTACTGCATTTATTGTGATGTATCATTTTTTGTATTGTGTTTGGTTGTGATTTATTGTGGACTGTGATTAAACCAGACAAAACTAAGGGTTATGTAATTAACGTACCCCCTTAATTACTTATTCCCAGCCGCAAACCGGCTGATTGCCCTGCCTTATTAATCCCCACCTTTTCTTCCACTGCTCCATGGTTCAATTCGTTATGTTGGGTTGATTAATTCCTCAACACCACCGGAGTTGCAGAAATCCAATTTTTTTTTCTTCTAGCATAGCCTCATCATTTGCCAACACTGTTCAACATGCTCTCCACCAATTTCAATGCATTTTTTTCATGCAATAAATCCAACAATCAAAACAGCGCTCAAAATAAATCCCTTTCAGGTCATTCTTCACCCTAGGGAACAGCCAGAAGTCACAGGGAGCTTAATCAACTAATGGAACTCGATTTTCTGCACTGTTTTGATCGTTGGATTTATCGCACGAGAAAATAAATTGAAATCGGCGGAGAAGTGTTGCCAAATGATGGGGCGAAGCGAGTAAAAAAAAAATTTTTGCGGAATTTTTGAAAACTCGCATTGGATCTACTTGAAAAAGTCTCACAACTTATGAACCACCCCTCGCATGAAGTCCCATTTTTAGACCATTTTACTCATGCCGACTCACATAACACGTAAGCGGGGGTCCCAACAGTGTATTTCCCACCTCCGCTTCGCAAAATCGCTGCGGCACCAGCCTTGGCAACCTCCACCTGACGAAAAAAAAGACACGAAAATTACCCCACAACAAAATTGACGAATAAACCGTGGGTGAAAAAGTTACCTGATCCTCGTAGTTTTTCGGCTTAGCCTTCGAGTACCCGTACGGAAGGAGCCACAATTTTCCATAAGCGTGCAGACTGTAGTAAGCAGCGAGTTTTTTCTCAGGATTATTTTTCAGTGACATGATGTAGTCTCTCAATGCTTGAACTTCTCTCTCAGACTCGGGTTTCTTTCCGGGATATGTTTCTTCGCACACAACTGCTCTGGTCTCAGGCCCTTCTGCAAATTAGATTGAAGATAACTAACTGACGCAAATTTTCGGGGGTCACTTCGGTCAATTTTAAAATGTATGCCCTTCTTCCAAATAAGAAGTATTTTTAAATATTTCTTTAATTTGAGAGCTCTGATTGAATTAGTTAATGCAGCAAGAAGTACAATACTGTATTTCTACCTTAATAAATTTTGTTTCATTTTATTTTTCAAGAAAAAAATTTAGAATTTAGTATGAAGGCAGGTTTCATGACAGGAAAGTAATATTGCATTCAATTCAAAGTTTTATCTTCAAAACTTCAGGAATATTCATAAATTACAATAGGTCTTAAATTATCTCTTTTGGAATCACTTCCGAGTACAGTATTTATAGCCAATTTTCCACAAAATTTCAGGCAGAACTTTGCAAAAAAAAAGCCCTTAATCTCGATACAACGAATTTTTCATTACAGTATAATGAATTTTTCGTCAGGTCCCTCGTAGTAACAAGATTTTATAGTATATTACTTGTTTCCAAGCTCAAATTTTGTCGCTGGTCCCTCGAGGTGTTTGACTTGAACAGATTTGATTGTACTGTTCAACAATTCCAGAGAAACGAATTTTTCATAAAATGATGAAGACAAACCTCTCCAATGAAAGTTGAAATTCCTGTTGGCGTCAACCCCCTTGCAAGAACGGTGACCTTGGGAAGACCTCGTTTTCCTCCACAATCTGTTCTGATGATTTCAATTCGGTCAATTAAAAATGTATTTAAATCATGCGGAAAAACCTTACTTTGGTATGCGTGTACTCGTAACCGTCGGGATTAACCACAGGTAAAAAGTGCCACTCGAAAGAATCCAGCACTGGATCCGGGTTTGATCCCGTGATTCTGTTGATCAAGTAAAGAACTGTCGCCGGACTGATCCATTCTCTGGCATGGATTCCTGAAATTTTGGCATCATCATCAATACTCAAAATGCTCTAGATATATTTTAAATCGTCAGATTTCCACTCACCTCCGTCGACGAAAATTACTTTCTTGTCTCCTCCACCTTTGTTCACTTTGAGAACTTTCAAAGCCTTGCCTTGGGTCGAATTTCCGATTTTGATAACTTTTACGGACGGGTTTGTGAGAGCTAATGAATCCAACCACGCGTTTATCTGCACAGGAATATTAAAAATAAATACACCTTTAAGAAAATGAGCACGTGGTCAATACATTTTATATAAAATTTCGTATTTTAATTCAAGGTTAAAAAAAACTACCGAATATTCAATGCAGACGTTTCCGACTTATTCAACTACCAAAAGCTTATTTTTGCCGTGCTGAGAAGCAATGCATTTTTGTCCGAATGTAGAACTAAAAAAAATTAACCATTTCTACGAAACCTAAAATGAAAAGAAAACCTGAATGTTTCTGAAATTATTTCAGAAAAAATCCAACATCCAATTGAGAAGTTCCGATTGATTCATCTTTCAAAAAAGCTCATTTTTTTTAGAATGGTGTGAAATTTTGGATTTGTGTGCGAATTTAGAACTGCAAAAAATAGAAAAAAATTCTATGAAATGGACTTTCAACAGAAAACCTGAATATTTTCCCTTCATTTCAGAAAAAAAACCTGAAAATTAATCCAAGCAGAAGATGCGATTAATTCCAATTTCACAAAGGCTCATTTTTCAACCATGGTCTGAAGCNCTTTGAGAACTTTCAAAGCCTTGCCTTGGGTCGAATTTCCGATTTTGATAACTTTTACGGACGGGTTTGTGAGAGCTAATGAATCCAACCACGCGTTTATCTGCACAGGAATATTAAAAATAAATACCCCTTTAAGAAAATGAGCACGTGGTCAATACATTTTTTAAATAAACTTTCGTATTTTAATTCAAGTTTAAAGAAAACTACCGTACATTCAGTGCAGACGTTACCGACTTATTCAACTACCAAAAAAAGCTCATTTTTTGCCGCGATGTGAAGTAATGCATTATTGTCCGAATGTCGAACTGAAAAAAAAAAGAATTATTTTACTTCTACGAAACCTAAACTGAGAAGAAAACCTGAATGTTTCTGAAATTATTTCAGAAAAAATCCAACATTGTATTGAGAAGTTCCGATTGATTCATCTTTCAAAAAGGCTCATTTTTTAGAATGGTGTGAAATTTTGAATTTGTGTCCCAATTTAGAACTGCAAAAAATAGAAAAACAATTCTATAAAATCGAATTTCAACAGAAAACCTGAATATTTTGCCTTCATTTCAGAAAAAGAAAACTGACAATTAATCCAAAAGATGCGATTAATTCCACTTTCAGAAAGGCTCATTTTTCAACCATGGTGTGAAGCAGTAACCTTTTGTCCAAAATTAAAACTGCAAAAAAGAAGAAGATTGATTTCTGTGAAACCGGATTCGAGCAAAAAACGAAGTTTTTTGCCTTCATTTCCCGCAAAATCATTGCTCACTCAAGAATTTCTGATTAATTTATGTTTTTGAATTGGCAATTTTAATTCGTGATGTGAACTAGTCCATTTGAGTCGGAATTTAAAGCTACGAGAAAAAAATAAAATTGCACGATTTCTACGAAACCGACATCCAGCAAAAAACCTGAATGCTTTGCCTTTATTTCACAAAAAACTAACGGCGGTAATTTCAATTAAAATCAATTTTGATCTTGATGATGACTAGAGGTCATTAATTTTCCTAAAAGGTATTTTTCAGTCCCTGAATTCACACCATCGATCGTAACCTGACAATTTCATGGATATTTGAATTCCCAATCATATTCACAAACGAAGAAATTTCTCATACAAGGATATTCCTTCCAAGAAAATATGTTGTACTACTCACTGCGTTGAATCTGTTGTATCGGTACAACCTGAAAACATTCTTGCGTCTAGAATTCGGCACGACAGTCTTCTTAATTACCCTGCGGAAACAAGCAGAAAAAAAAATTATTATTCCAGCAACCAAACCTCGAAAAAGATTAAATACAGTAACTCACTCCTTGACATTTCTTAGTAGAAGATGAGACGAAATGTTCTTGCTTAAAATCATGGAATTCAAGTGCGCAATGCCATCAGGGGCAACCATGATATCCGCCTGTTTCTTGATCACTTTCCAGACGTTCATGGAATCATTTGTCAGATGGTCCTTAGCTTCGTTGAAGAACATGTCTTGGACTTGTTCGTCCTGGAAATTGAGCCTGAAAACCTGATGCCTAAGAACGTATTTTTTTTAAAGGAGTTTCTTTTTTTTTTGGTAAACAGCTCAATTTCATAAATACCCTTCATAATATTCGTAAGAATTCACAATAGCAGCGCAAGCACTCAAGAAAACTACGAGAAGAAGCTCTTGAAATCGCATTTTCTCAGAAGGAATCAAAAAGAAAACTGACACGTTTAACTGACTGGTCAGACCTTTTAGTTTCTTCTCAGGATCAACTCAACAAACAAAATCAGGGAAATCAATTTTTCAAACCTAATGACCAAATCGACTGATTTGGTTATGAGAGTCCGACGAATTGAGCTGATGATCATACGAGAATCGCTTTTCGAATTTCAATCAATCCTCACTAAGAAATAATACGTCGGGTGGTCCAAAATTGTTCAACGAGTAAAAAAAGAACTGATGCCAACTCAAGTTTATCTGCAGTACGAAAGTTCTGAATAATTCAATATTCAGTAGAATCTCGATAAAACAAAAAATTGCTCGCAATAAAGTCGTTTCTCAAATCCCTCCCCTAACAGCCATTATTTTACAGCGAAAATCTCCTCGCAATAATGCCTTTGGGACCAGGAAAAAGCCTGGTAACGATAAAACCCAATTTTGAAGAAATTCAAATATTATTAAGGGATCTAAAACATGAATTCAAATCGAGCAATAATTTGCCATGAGATTCGTTTTAGCAATATTCTCATGAACAGTATTTAAATTTCATCATAAAAAAAAAATTGTGTCATAACATGGCCATGATTTCAATTGCTTTATTGTAACAATATTTCACTACAATTCCCACCTATTATTCATGAGAAAACCAAATAAAATTATGACTTTTTGGGGGAGGAGGCATAAAAAACTTGCATCGCGAGCAATAATTTCTTAGAACAAGATTCTACTGGATTTTATTAGTTTTGGAATAAAATTTTGCCTTGAAAAGGTTTTTTTCCTGAGACAAATGACTTTTTTACGACGATATTTCATGTTAGCTCCCACCTCTCATTCACTATAATTGCAATACAATTATGGCTATTGGGGAGGGATCTGAAAAAAAAATTTACAGTAAGGAATGATTTGCTAAAACTGCACTTCTGAAGGCAGAAATCAGGCAGAAATCAATTTTTTCAATAATCAGCATAAGACTTCTCCTATTTCATTATCAGCGTCTGTCACGAACGCTGGAGAATATGCCAGACTTTGTTAGCAAAGAAAAATTTTCTATAAGCATTTTGAAGTAGCATCAATTTTTTCAAAACTTTCAGACCACCCAACGTTTCAGAATCGCGTAAAAGGCTAAATGCACATTTTGGTTTTCCGGTGAATTTCGGACGACAATGTTCAGGAGTCTTGCGCCAAATGCACAACCGGCGAAGGTGGGAAGAAGTGCGGAAGGAGACGCTCGTAACACTGCTCATCTTTCGTCAGGAACACGCAGATTATGATTCGATCAACCTGTAAAATCCCAAAAACTGGTTTCACTTGAACTTTCGAACAAGAAAAAAATACTGACGAAAATCCCAAAACCTGATTCACCTCGACTTCCCAACAGAAAATAACAACGTTTTTGTACGAATATAAGACACCAGTCATCAAAAAACGATCTTATCTTTTTCGTGCTTTAAAAAATGAGAATTAATTCGCCTAAGAATGAGAGACGCAATTAAGCCCAATTAAATTTTCTCAAGAGTCCGTTGATTGAGGAGTTTCATTCAACAGCTCAGTCAAAGAATTATAACTAAGTCACGATTCCAAGTCCAGATTTCAAGCTCTAGAACTAAAATTAACTTCGTGGATTTGTTCTGCGGCTAAATTTGTATAAAAAAAAATTTGACTAGGTCGGAATTAATCACGCGATCAACCTGAGAATGCTACCAGATTCTTTCTCTGCTAATTTATCGAAGAAAAGCGCGTTTCATATTTGAATAAATAATTCACTACAGTTGATAAATTATCCACCTTGTCGCCGTGTTTGTCGAGGAATTTCCTGATAGCGGTCAAAGCGCATTTTGCAGCTTTTTCACTCGGGTAACCTAAAAATTTGGGTTAAACATTGAATCAAATATTTATAAAATTTGATTCGGAAGACTTACCAAAAACCCCGGTGGAAATACAAGGAAATGCCTGCCGAAATAGAAAAATAAAAAAACGGGTCAGTTTTGGAGGAAGAATCGCAATTCAATGAACGACTCACAATTGAACGGATGTCATTTTCAAGCATGATTTGGAAGCAGGATTCGTAACAGCTCCTCAGAAGTTGTTCTTTTTCCCCCACTGGACCCACAGTGTGGATGACATCTGAAAATAAGGAAAAATATTGAGCAAAAAGTCCAACAGTTTTAGAAACTGCAGCATTTAAAAGACAAAAAAAATCCGAAAATATACCGAGACAATGTTTTCAACTTCTCAACGAGACTAAAATGTTATCAAGGAAAAAAAATAAAAAATAGGACGAGGACAGACAAATACATTATCGTACCAGATTATCTCCTACTTGACTGGTTTCGATACGATAATCGTTCCTATCTCTATTTTTAATACCTCTTTGAAATTTTTGGACTTGGGAGATAATCTCCAGATTTCCAGTCTAAAATTTGATTTCAGAGGCAAATGTAAAAAACACTCTAAAAATACAAGGTCAAAAGGTGAACCGGCTTTCTTTCTTCCATCGATGACATTCTTTGTCCTCAAGACTGTATTTCAAGCTGCACATCCCCACTCACATTTTGCAGGCAAATTGTACCCAAACGTCGACTTGGCATTCCCAGTTTGGCATCCGTTCAGGGTTCTGCATTCATCCAGCAACTGAGGTCCTGCAGCTCTGTGTATTGATCCATCAACTGTGAAAACAATTTGTTTTTTACATGAACTGATTTTCTGCTTCGCAGCAAAACACTTCTCTGAAATTTAACAGGCATTGACGAAAAATAATATAACCCACGTGTTCCCCACTGGCCCTAAAATTTATCCACTTAAGAGCCCAACGGAAAATACGATTCGGGTGACACCTATGTAACCGCAAAGAAACCTCCAGGAGGATTTCGCATTCGTGGAAGTGCAAAGCATTACTTTACAAGGAGTTAATTTTAACCTTCGATGCGTCACGTAAGTCAACTGTTCTTCAAAATGAAATCGTGAAGCACAATCTTGAACAAATTAATTTTCTACAAGAAAAAATTACAACAATAAAAACACACAGAAACGGCAAAAAATTAGTACCTCCACCGCCGCCAAGCAAACGTTCATTCGCAGCATTCACAATCGCATCAATCTCCAATGTTGTTATGTCTCCTTTCCACAGCGACAGTCTGGAGTTGAGCAGATCATCCGACGAATAAGGACTTGCACTTGCCTCGGAAGCTCCTGCTTGGAAAAGAAAAGAGGAATACATTTCATCGTAATTTGGGGGAAATTTTTTTCATTTTCAAATATATACTCACTCAAGTTTTCAATGACATCACGACGGTTCTGGAAGTATTCTTTCCAGGTTTGAATCTGCTCTAGGCAGACGAACCCATCACCACAGGAATATTTCTTGCGTCGGTCTTTCAATTTCAGCAATTCGAATTCCCCTTTTCAGAAAAATATAGCAAAATACAGTATTGTAAATACAGCATTGAACAGAAAGGGACATGACGAGGATTATACGGTTGAACTTCTCTCTACAACGAAATTCAAGGGACCAGAAAAAATACCCTATGGAACCACACCAAAAATTCGCTGTACAGAGAAAATCGTTGCATAGAGAGTCCTATTGTAATTCAATAATCGCTGATTCGTCAAGGATATGTCTCAAAGTTTTAAAAGATTTAAATAAGCTCCAGTCTTTCACTGGAAGCTCAATCTAAACGCAAAACAAGTCCCATTTTCAGTGGAAAAATCTTCAGAGATGCCTCGCATAATGAACTCAGCCTCACACTGATTTTCGATTCGGATAGTGGACCACGATTCGAATAATAGACTATATCAGGGGTAGAATTGAATACTACATGAATTTTTCAAGTTGATGAGAATTATCCTCGATAGCGCTCAGAATTAGTTACCTGCTTTCTGAAAGTGTTTGCTTTAAGTTATTCGCACTGTATTTCACATTTAACGCATAATTATTCAAAAACGAATCAAAGGAATATCCAGGATTTCTTCCAAGAAAACAGAAGAACAATAGATTTTACTCACTTTTTTGACGTTCAACTTTTTCGACATCCATTTCACATGGATTGTTCCCTCTGACGATTTCACGCCGACTCAAAATCACAGGCAACACATTAGGAACACGGCGGCACTTGATGAAATGTCGAGGCAAAGTGCTGCCCAACGATTGCGCGAATAAACGACTCAACACGATCTGCATGACATGATCACTTCCAAAACGGAAAAAGGAAGAAACCTATTGAGTATCTGCGTATCGGAGGTGGTATCATTATTTTTATCTCGGTTTTCAATTTTCGTAGGTCATCTACCTCCTCAAAAAATAAGTTTAACTTTTCGTGCAGTTCCGCCGAAAATTAAGCTGAAATTTTCCAATAATGTACTCTTGGTAAATGCGACTTATACCGTAATTATTGTACCGCTCGTCTCTTGGCAGTAAATAAAAGCTCAGCAACATTTCAAAAAAGGGGTCTCTTACCAGCTAAAACGGGGAATAAAAAAATTATTTCACCATAGCATAGATGGAAAGGAGGTAGATACAGCACAAAAGCGGCAATTCAACAACGAACACGTTCTTGAAAAAGAGACCAACTGTCGAAGAAGGTGAAGAAACATTCTATCTCTGATATTCTTCAAAACTCATTCAGGCTGATAATATGGGAGGCAAAATAATTTTCGCCTCAGATTACAATTTTCGTAGGCAATCTACCTCCTCATGAAACAAGTTCTATCAAAAGTGAAACATTTTTTGCAGTTCCGCGTGACTGTCCAAAAAATTAGGCAGATATTCGAGCTTGTCGTCCCCCAAAATAGTTCATAGACTTCATACAGAAAATACCCCGCGCAAATGTGACCTATTATTGTTGTACCAATCGCAGTTTGGCAACAAAACAAAAACAAAAAATTACAACAGGGTCCATACATGCCGAAAAAGGGGAATAACAAAATTATTGTATCGTGGCATAAATGGAAAGGAGGTAGATACAGTAAAAAAGCAGCAATACTTCAAGTAAAGGCAAAACACGTTCTGGAAAAAGAGACCAATTGTCGAAGAGGACGAAAATGTAAAAAATAACAATTCCACCTGATATTTCATTACTGTGTACCCAACACGAATCATGAGAAGGAGAGGTTTCTTTTCTTTTCAAGAGAGTTGGTCCATTCTCCAGAACCGCATTCAGGTCATTTAACACAATCAAATCTCATCAGTCCCAAGAAAAGAAAAGCCTCCGTTTTTTATTTTTATCTTCCTATGATCCCAACAGTAATCAACACAAATTCCAACGCACAAAAGCAACCCAATGAATCGCACGACGTTCTTATTCGTCCCTTTTGATAAAAATTTACGGCTGCATCCTCAAAGCCCCGTCCAGTCGGATCACGGTCCCATTGATCATGGGGTTCGACAAAATGGACTCCACCAACATGGCGTATTCATCAGGGTTGCCGAGTCGTGCAGGACAGGGCACTGTTGACGCCAGGAACGTTTTGACTTTTTCTGGCAACCCGGCAAGCATCGGGGTCTCAAACAGTCCTGGAGCAATTGAGTTGCACCTTTGAAAATAGAAAATGAACAGGACGTTACGAGGATTATTTCATACGTTTCCTCAATATGAGTTGAAGTTTGCGACATAATAAAGGTAGACACTCTCTACAACGAGTTCCTATGAATAAAAATTTTTTTTACCACCAAAGGGTTCTTTGAAACGAACTTCAGTGGACCAGAACATTTTTTTCTTTGTCAACAATTTTTTGCGTCATAAGGGTTCTCAAAGACAAAATATTCTGGTTCAATGAATATCGTTATACAGTAATAAATTATTTTTCAGGTACAATACCTTGAATATCGATATAAGGAATTATTTTTCAGGTCCTCTGAATTTCGCTTAAAGGAAATATTTTGCAGGTCCTCTGAATTTTGTTGAAAGGAATTATTTTCCAGATCCCATGAAAAATGAAAACTGGAGAACGCACCTGATTCCTTGACTAGCCAAGTCCCGCGCAATCGGAAGAGTCATTCCTACTATGGCCCCCTTGGAAGCCGCATAGGCCGCCTGGCCCATCTGGCCCTCAAACGCCGCCACCGAGGCGGTGTTGACGATGCAGCCGCGTAACCCATTCACCGGCTCGTTTTTCCCCATCACACCAGCCGCCAGTCGGATAACGTTGAATGTGCCCACGACATTCACTTGCACCACCTTTGCGAAGTCCTCCAGTGTGTGTGGCCTGTCCTTGTTGAAGTTGTAGGTTTTAAAAGCCACGGCAATCCCTGAAATTTCATTCGATAATCATTTTTTTTCATGTTGAAAATTTAGGGACTTTTCGAATATTGTAAAATTAGAGGCGAACGGAAAAAAATTCAGGGAGATCGGACAATTTTTCGCCAATTTGCGAAGAATGATACAAAATACCGTAGGCGAGAACAACGAAGTAAAGCTCAAAAAGAATTTTAATTAAATTTATTTCAAAACTTATTTTCAAGTTAGTCTGTTCAATATTAAGGTAAAGATATTTCAAAAGCTAATTTGCTGAAAAGGAAGTAAATTTCAATCAAATTGCAAGAAGGCATGATTCTGAATTTTGATTCAATTACAACATATTTTCGTTAAAAATAAATGATTTTTCAAAGTTCTTCTTGTTACAGAACTAGAATCCCAACAAATCTGCGTGAAAAAACACACAGATCTTTTTGGAATCAACGTGGAGTTAATTTCGTCAGTTTTTCCTCGAATTCGCAGGTGCAGAGTCTTTCAATCAATTTTTCTCAGATAAATAAAAAAATCCACCAAGATAAATGCGTCATACGTAAATTATGATATTCCACACTCACAAAAAAACTACCTAGAAGCACAGAAACTCTTTGACTGCAAAGCTTATTAAAAAAACTAGACAAAATGTACAAATTTCTGTACAGTATAACAAATTATTCATTATTATTGAGCCTTTTAAAAAAAAAAATCCATGACGCACAAAAATTTTTTGACCGAACTGCGAAGCATGAACAAAAAACTATAGACGGAATTTCATTTTGTACAAATTTCGGATTAACGAATTATTCATTATTAACAAGTCTTCAATCAAAAACTTACGAAATGCAGATTAACTCTTCAACTCAAGTGCTTTTATAAATGTCATTTCTCTCAGAAAAACACCGACCAGCGCAGTTGATGACAGCATCCAGTCGTCCAAATTCATCGGTAGTCTTCTTGAGCGCCGCTTCAACTTCCGCAGTCGAGGTGACGTCGCAGGGGGCAAACAGAGCGTTGGTGCCCAGCTGGGACGCCACTTCACCGCCTTTCGACGAGGACAAGTCGCAGACAACCACTTTGCCGCCCTGGCGTACGAATCTTTCCGCCGTGGCCCGGCCAAGGCCCGAAGCGGCGCCTGTCACTAAGCCCACCAAACCTCGCATTGCTTCCCTCTCTCTCGTGAGACTTCACACACACACAGGAATCACTAGAAATCGTGAAAAAAGAAACTCTTGAAGCTTTCTGAAATTTACAGACCGTTTTTTTCACTAATTATAAAATTGACCACGAATCCAAATCACCCGAAACAATTCGATCCACGAGATGACTTGACAAGATTTCATTTCCTCACTCAAGCATTGGCTCCTGAAAATCGAGGAAAACAATTATTTTATGAAACAAATCATCATCATACAGGGTATCTAGAATATGAAGTACGCAGTGGAAAAGATTCAGGGATAGTTTTAATGAAGGTAATTATGCAAGAAGGTCTCATTAAAATCCTCGATATTGCAGTTTCTTCTATTTCCTTTTCGGTACTGTATTTCACTAATTTCGTTATTTTAGAACTTCTACTCGACAGCTCAAGTCAAATTTTAGCAAGGGAACTGACAATTTTCAAAATGAATCTAAAACGCGCAAAAATTTCATAAAATGAAAATTTTCATTGAAACACTGACTCATTTATTTGAATTGCGCTAAAACTTCACTCCAAAAATTTACTTTACGAGGCGTGCAAGAAATTCCAGCGGGAGAAGGTGCACCTGTGTCAGCTTCACTAAACCTTTTCCAAAGCATAAAAGAATAAAAAAAAACCAAATGCATTTCCGATGAAAACGAAAAAATAAACACAATATGGTGGGATATAGAATTTGAGACCACTATGGCTCCAGGTTTAATTCTTTTCTGGCAAAAGCATCTTTTGCAGCACGACACAAAAAAACATGATTTCAATCCAACAACGAAAGACTAGTTCGGAATCTTGTTTTTCTTTTCCCTGAAGACAAAATGTTTGCAACAAGCACATGATTTTTTCGACTTCGGCTTGCAATTGAACAATCGTAAAATTGTCTGATCTCTCTGGCATCTGTTTCTTTGGATCTGTCAAGCGAAACTGTGAGATTCGTGGAAATCTGAAATGAAATTCTGGTGTCTTACTTGCATGCATTTCTTGCTTCGCAATTAGTTTCACTGACTTTTGGAAAAACGAGGCGTTTTAAAAACACTGACATTGCTTTCGTTAATTCCGGGAGATCGTACAATAACGCAGATCACGTACACACAATACAAATTTCAAATAAAATGCTCCAAAAAATCATAACTTCTATGTGAAGCGACCGTTTCACCGAAAGCATTCAATTCGACCAGACGCAAAAGTCACCGTGCATCTAACAACAACTTGGACTCAATATTTTCACTTCCTTCGATAAAGCACTGAAAAGGAGCACCTTTTTTTTTTGGCAAGATGGGGAAGCTTTCTGTTCAAAAACTTCAAATCTAGGGATCACTGAATCATCCTCGACAGAAGATCCTTTAACATTGCACAGGATTGTCTTCTCAGACCCTCTAAATAGTCTAAAATACGTCTAATCGCATAAGGATAATCTCGGATCTCCTTGAACCCAACTACAGTACTCCACATGCATTCTCCCAAAAGGAGTGACTAAAGTAATTTCACTCGGCACCACTTCGTCTCAAGCGTGGGTAAAAAAAAAAAATTCTCGCATGTTTCCGCATTCCGCTGCTTTTCCTTTCTCACATCGGCAATAATATGTAAATCGCTGGATAAAAATGTATGTATCAGGTGAGATACTCAGTGAGCTTTCAAGAAGGACAAGAATCCTCGTACTGCATTAAGCATGTATAATTTAAAATCAAATAAAATCGTGAACGTCCTCGGCATCTGACGTACAATTTGCACTCAAGATTTCGAACGAAATCCATGCATAAAAATAACACAAAACGCAGAATATGAAAATAAAATTTCTGCTGCTTTGAAATTATTTCCGAAATCCTTTCATCGCCTGATTTTAAACTGAAATTACGAACAAGTGAATTTCTGCAAAATACTCGAAAGCCTGAATTATGGTAATTTCTTTCCCTTGGGAGGATTTCGCCAACCAATGACTCGTAAGACCCAAAACCTGCAATTCTCTTCACACCAAACAAAGAAAACGTTCGTAACACGAGCCTATTTCAAATTATGCCGCAACTTTGTACCGTGTTTCTCAGATATTGGGTTTCAGTGAAGAGGGTTTTGTGAAATTCATGCACTCATGAAACTGCCACTCGAGCGAATGCAAATTATTTTTCTCGTCAAATTTTCACAACTCATGCGCGTATCTCCGAAGCCCGGCTTTCACGGCTTGTCCACACTTTGCCCCGGCAACCCGACAAGCAAACTCCAAACAACGCTCCAGACCCACGTTCTTCCTCCTCGCGTAGATGAAAGCCGCGTTGAAAGTGTCGCCGGCGCCCAAAGTGTCCACCACAACCGGCGGCGGATACGCCGGCGACGCCAACACTTCCTCGTGCTCCAACAAAGCAGCGCCTTCGTCGCCCCAAGCACACACGACGATCGTGGATTCCTTGGCGAGTTGCTTGAAGTGTTTCACAGCAGAAGTCATGTCGGGGCAATTGTTGAAAGCAGCGAATTCTTTGGACACGAACAGCACGTCGGCGAATTCGATGAGTTGAAGCAGCTCGGGTCGGGGTTTCTCCAGCTCGATAGACACTGTGAGGTGGGACGGAAGTTCCGGAAGGATACGAAGCAGTTCCGCGGTGTTACGGCCTTCGAAGTGGATCCAGTCGAAATCGCCGAGCTTCGGGAGGAGGCGAGCCCGGAAGTGATGTCGACTCAGTTCCGGAAGACCCGGGTTGTGGTGGAGAATCGTGCGAGAACCGTTTGCCGCGTTCAAGATAACAGCCGATGACGGGGACCCACAAACTTCCACCTGAAGTCAAAAGAAAATACAGTCAAACCTTAACATATTCCCATTTTTGCATAGTACCAATAATGTTTTCGGAACAAATCTCTCTTAATTTAGTTTTCAAGAGAAACTCCAATTTAGTGCCGCAAAAAATGCATTTCCGCATGAAAAATGGGACAACATCGAAGAAATGAAAGCTTTTCTATCGGGGTATTATTGGGTTATTACTGGAAATCACATGCGAATGCTCATGTAAAAACTCAGGATTTTTTCGAAGATTCTATTTCTGAGGAAACATTGTTGGAAAAATACTGTTTTTTGTTTTTTGAATGACACGCCTTTTTTCATTGAAAAAATTTAAGGAATAAAGGGGTAGCTTCCTGGGAACCCCTGGTGATTTCTGCACATAAAAACGAAACCTTTCACAAATTTTCAAAAAAAAGGTCTGCTCTTCAGCTGTACACAACCCATGTAAAGATACTGTAAATCAAGTTCTGTCTTATTAGATACAGTACAGCGAAATACATTAGGCAGAAATAAACTTGATCTACGAATTATTTCTAGCGGCTTTTTCTTTCATAAAATAGACACAATGCCTCTAATAATTTTGCATACAATCCAAGTTTTGCCCATAGTAAAACCCCCAACAGAACCTTACTCTCAAACAATACCCTTGATTTAGTGCCGACCATGCTTGGTACCACAAAATATGCCAGGATACGTGATGGAAATTGAGGCATGACTCTCAACAGGTGGACTCTCTTTACAACAGAACTTGAAGGACCAGAATAACAAAAAATTATTTTAGAGAGAATTTAGTTTTAAAGAAACTCATGGGACTGCAACACATTTTTTACACAAGAAAATTGTTGTAGAGAGAGTTCATCCCTGTATAGTATTCCACCATCACGGCAAAATAGTTGAAATAATATGCCAAAATAAATCGATGAAATTTTCAACCTTTTCAGAACACAAAACACGCGTCAGTTGAATGCTTTTTCTAATCATCAAAAGTATTTTGTTTCCCTCACCTGGCAATCTTCATGGATGACACCTTCGAGCTTGAACCAGTCCCTGAGGATACTAGAAACAGGGTCACATCCCAGAACACCAGCGTACTCAGTTCGCGCGCCAAATTCAGCGAGCACAGCCGCCGTATTGGCGGCATTGCCGCCTTTCTGCCAACGAGACTCCAAGCAACGCGTGTCACTGTCTTCAGTCGGAAACGACTCGCACACAGATATGGTGTCTAGGCACGTTAGCCCGACCACCATAACCTTTTTGTCCCCCGTCATCTTAAAGAAAAAAACGCCAATCACGAAACGATAAGATTACTTAGAGGTTGCGATAACGAAGAACACCCCAGGCATTTTCAAAGTCACTCATGTACATGAAAATTGTTCGTTACAAACAAAATTCATTAGAAAATACAGTACACCTCTTCGAAGAATATTTAGCACAACAGTTCGTAGCGATTATTTAATTTCTTCAAGCAAGAATGTCAAATTTTTCAATTCGACAATTTCGCTGCCAATCCAGATGCTAGATTACACCATAGGTGTCACAGCAGAAATTTTGCGAACATCGGGGTCATTTCGAACGAGAAACTTACATGTTTCGATTAAATGAAAACGTCGCAATAAATTTTAATAAAAGGTTACAGTGAAAAAAAGGCAGCAAATGGATCAGTCATCTTTATATGTATTTTGTTATCCTCAATGCTGAACATATCATTGGAAAATGCTCCTTCGTTAAATTCCTTGCAAAAATTCTGAGTTTTCGCTCAAAACTTTCAGTAGGAGAATAATTTATATAAAAAGGGATATCAGATGAGACACGGAATTTAAATATTTTATGCAGCATTTTTCACACATTCAAAAAACCTCTCCAAATAATTAAAAAACATGTTTCCAGTAAACGAGCAGTAAAAATTCCATTTTATTCTAGTAAAAATAAGAAAAGGTGACAGTGCGAGAGCGGACACACAGTGCAAATCATTCATGCAATATCTTAGACAGTTCTTCCGAGATTGTCTTCAGCTTGTCTTGGTTAATTTTTCCTTTCTTGTCAAGAATATCACCACATCCCTTCGGCACCTTCAAGCCCTTAGCTGACGCCATTTTCTTTCTGGCTTTTCGCTTTTCCAGACATTTTACAACTGGGTCCGTGGGAAAAACACAAGCTCTTGCGATTTTCTTCTTCGACTCAGAAACGGAATTTTCCAAGATAGTTTCAAGTAGTGTCACTTGTAGCTGGTATTCAGTCTTTAGCCGCGCGGGATCGTAGATGAACTTCAAGACGGATTCATCCTCAATATTTTCGTGAAGCAAGCTCTTTCTTGCCGTTTTCCGAACTTTCTTTTTAGGCTCCGGGGGGGTTGGGTCAACCACAGGTTTCTTCGCGCGTTTCGATCGTCGCAAATTCGGAGAGTTCTCAACTCCAGCAGGACTCGCAGTCTCCACAACAGGCTCGTTATTTACCGGTTCTTCTTCCTCTTTCAAAGCCAGGGAATCTAAAGAATTTTCCAGATACGCCATGCGGATGTTGTGAGTGGTCATTGGGCGTCTGCCCAAAAGGACCCGGATTTTGTCTTCTTCGGGATCATCTGAAAATACACGAGATCTTCTACGATCTTTCCGTCGCTTTTCTTCATCCTTCTGAAACTCCGCTATAGCTTGAGAGTCGATTTGTACAACCGGCGAGGATACCGAGTTAGATACCTCAGGAGATCTGAAAATTCAGAGCATGAAATTCAACCTCCATGCATGGATAAAAAAACCCAACTCCGAAAAAGAAATCACGCCTCAAATTTAAAATAACGTCAGCTCATCGTTCCGTTCTTGATTTCAGGTGACTGACATGAAATAACGGGATCTTCGACTTTCAAAGTAACCAACCGTATTTTCAAATTCCTTCACAGTAGTAATAAAAATTAACGGAGATTGCCTATAATAGACGCACGCAGTAGGTCGAAGTTGGGGGGCAGTATCGAAGTCTCTCCCTTAAAAGATAAGTTTCAAACAAAAGCTTTCGAGGGCGAACTCCCCAAATATACATTTCAAATTCGANAGGGCTTAAAAGATAAGTTTCAAACAAAAGCTTTCGAGGGCGAACTCCCCAAATATACATTTCAAATTCGAAACCGAAGAACACTTCCATAAAATGATGAGAATGAAACTCCACGCTTCTCCAAACACACCCAAGCAACACAATTAAAATCGGCCACAAAACTTACTGTGGCATCAACTGATATATAAAAATAACCTTTGAAAAACCCACAACAATACTTCACTGTACTATTCGACCAGGTTCAAGAAAGAATAACTCAGGTTAGCGTTAAGAATTGTGCTTCGCGGCCTGGAAGAAATCAATAACGACGAAAACACCACTGATCACTGACTACACTTCAATGTGAGATATCGACGCCGAAAAAGACTATCCTTATTATTATGCCTGACGTTTCGAAAGAAATGAGAATGAAGTAACTCACCGAACATCACAAGCACACCCATTCGTGCAGTTATCATTGTTAGTTGGACACAGCGTCACGATGGTAGGCGAGAGAGGAAGCTCTTCAGAAACACATCTGTAACTTTTATGATTCACTTGTAGATTTCGTGAATTTTAGTACATTTCACTTGTTTCACTCACACATCATCAGATGCGCCAAAACTCAGCATCGTGGTATCAAAGAAAGAGGTAGACGGTTCACACTCGAAGCGAGCGTGAGACGTGTTGCGTTTGTCCCCACGAACCAGCGACCTGAAATCATAACACCAGAAACAGCTGAAGAAATTGTTGCGGAAAGACAGTGCAGTGCTTACTCCTTAAGTCCTCTTCTGCGCTTCTGCCTGACGTTCGACTGGACGTTGACATTCTCAGCAAAAGCATCAGGGGCGCGGAAACCAACGTCATCTTCTTCATCAGGTGCGAAGCATTCGGCTTCCAATGCGGATTTTTTCCTAACTGGACGCCTAGCTTTCAGTTTCTTCGGAGCTTTCACCGACGGTACTCGCGAATTAGGTGCATCAGCGATTTCTGTCGGGAGTTTTCCCGGCGAAGAGATTTCGCGATGCCGATTTTCCCGATGATGCCGAGGCGAGAGTTCCGGAGAATCACACACATTGTTCTTAACGGGTCGTGGAATTCGCGAACGGCGTTTCTCATATACTATTTCAAACTTCTCCGTCTTCGCTTGCTTCCGCTTTTTCGGGGACCAATTCCTGAATTCCTCCTCCTTCTCTGGGTTGCTTTCGAAATTGAACGGACTCGAGTAATCGTCTCCTCGTATTAGGTTCTCAACGCTATTCAATGCCATGTTCACAATCGAAATTCATTAGAATCGCGCGGCTTGTTTCCCGTCAAGAACACATCCTGTGTGAATAATATATTTCATCAAAATAACTTCCACATTCCACTCAATAGCCTACGCGGTTCACAAAATTCAAAATACACTTGGAAATTCTCTGATTCAACTTCAGAACGGCGGGATTCTGTAATGCATTCAAATTTCAAACAAATCTAGACATTGGAAGAGAACTGCATTGACTGACTATGCAGTCCGCGGTGGCGAAGTTGACGGTCTGCCAGATAAAAACTAGATGTCGCCAGTCACATCGAGCGTAACTCAGCACTCATCACCATGCACAATCGGACACCAGTTAGCCACTCTCCCTTTCAAGGATACAGGACATTTGAAAAATATATAATTACAGTAATATTGGTGGAAAATAGCCAGTAAAAAAAGTAACTCAAACTCCAATGATCAGCTCAAAAAATAGGAAATTTAAAACCTATAATCAATAAAGCTGCAAGCCATGAAAAGCTTGGCTATTATTGGTAAAGACCTGCACGAGAATGTTTTGCACAATTTTACGGCACTTCTTCCAAACGTTTTTTATAACTACTTCACACAAGTATAAAATTTTAAAAACCTTTTCAAAAACAGTAAGCTGATTTTTTTCAGCTTTTTACGTCTGTTCAGAATCACATGAGGTAATTGCTGGATGCTCTTGCCTCTTTGACATCAATGTCTATGCATTGCCTCCTGGAGAGGAAATCTTGAAAAATGCATCTATTGTAGTCTGCTTTGGTTTCTTTGTTTTCAGGAGCTGTCTGAAGTGCTTCATAGCTGTGTCATCAAAAATATCAGCAGCTGTGATGACTTCAGCTAGGTTTGGGTGATGCATTTCCACAAATCCTTGAACATTCTCCCAATCCTTCAAAATCTTTTTGATTTCAGGAATTGAAATGTGCTGGCCGCCTTTTTCATCCATAGATGGAAGCACCTGCTCAGCTCCCTGAAAATCTTCATCATGCAACAACTGCTGAAGCTCCTCTGTGCTGAGATCCTCCTTCTTCAAACCAAGCCCAGACTCATCTGCATTGATGATCTGTTGAAAATTGCATTCTATAAAAGTTTCTGGACATTTTCAAAAGTTTCCTGAAAAGCTTTCACCTGCTGCATGTCTGGACAAACTTCTACTTCCACAAGTTTCTGAATTTCCTGGGCAAATTTCTCAACTGCTCCTTCATTATCAGCAATGGTTGCTTCACCACACAAAGGAACACTGTGGATCCCACTTCTCTTCTTAAACCTATCAAACCAACCCTTACTGGCTTTGAAAACTTCCACCCCACTTATTGAAACATTAGGGCATGCTTCATTTTCCTTCTTTTCTTTCTCCTGAAGGTCTTTGAAGATGGTCCTTGCCTTTTCCATGATGGCACCTGTAGAGGTGATATCTCCTCTCACCTGCCTATCATTTATCCAGATGGCCAAGAGCTTCTCCATTTCTTCCAGGATTATGCTTCTGGAACCAACTTTTGTCATTCCTTTTGCAACTTTAGACATCATGATTTTCTTTTTCATGGCAAGGATGGTGCTGATGGTAGAGGGGTGCACACCATACTCTCTTGCAATTTCATTAACCTTGTATCCAGCTTGTTTTTTTTAATGATTTCTTGCTTCACTTTGATTGAAAATGCTTTTCTGACTGCTTTCTTGGGGGCCATCTCACTAGAAAATAGGCTAAACCCTGCACACAGATCTTGATGATCCTGGAATACATCAATATAAAGCAAACTTCAAACAATATAAAGTACAGTGCAGTAAACTGAGGTACAATATAATTGCACAATAAGTCCCTGCCATTTGGATGCCTCTATTAACACATGGAAAATGTACATTATGAACGAAAAATCAGCCCAGCAATAAAAGCTGTACAATATATTTCAAAGGGAACAATTGATTTCCATCCTCTACTAAATACCAAGATGGCAATACAGAAGGTGAATCACTCATGAGATTATATATAGAATCTTGGGTACTATAATTTGCACAGAAACAATTCTAGTGAATACCGAATAGTTTGTTTCACAAAATTTCAATACCAAGATTCACACACAGCAGTAATCAAGAACTTTTTGCCAGGAGAATCCTTCTGTTTTGTCTTCTTCAGTGCGAAATTGAAAATTTTCACAATGAGATTGTTTGGACATGTACCTTGTACAGGCTTTCTGTCAGGACTTGGGACAATGTTTTTTCTGCAGAAAATGTTGTCATGACAAGATTTCACTGCACCAATTGAATAACTTTTCTTATGGGACCCTTTGAAACATGTGATATGGTAGAAATTTTGTGAGGAGAGGGTTTGCTTGAAAAAAGTGACACTTATACTGGGAAACAACTTTACACTTGCAAGCAAGAAATACAGTATCTTTCAAATGGATCAAGCCCTTTCTATCATGAATATGAGCGTAAAAGCCCATGCATTTTCATATACTAGAGCAAATTGATTCCAATCTTGGTGAAATTTTTAGCATGAAGTTTCCCTCAAATTAATTTTGAAACCTGGATATGACGTATTAAAATTATAAAACGGAAACAGGTTTTAAAAATGTAATTCAACTTGAGGCACATTTGAGCATAAACTTTTTTCCAGAAGTTCCTGAAAAGTTTAAATTTGACTGGAGCTTGAAAATATGTTCAAAATGTGCAGCGAGCCCTCCATTTTTTCGGAAAATTTTTTCACATGGTTCATGCGTAAATACGGTACACAGAAGCAGAAAAAGGACACGCATTGGTGCAAACGCAGGAGAGCAGGAAAAAACGTATACCCAAGTTTTGCAGGATGACGAATAAAAAACGTATGCCACGCTATACGTTAGTGAACTAACACGGCATGCGAACAATCATCAAGAAAACCCATTTGCATCACTAATCGTTCTTCCACACGTTTCACCTGAAAAGCGAACATCAAAAGAGATAATTACCGTTTCTGTGGATTACACAATAGTACAGAAAAATAGGAGAAGCAAACACGGCTTCCGTTTCTCAACGGCATTCATTTCTTTGAAGAAGAAAAACCACGCAGCAATTCCCTTCAACCAACCCTTCTTCAAAAAAAAAAACAAAAAAACGCTGCAACTCGTCACAGATCATCTTCGCGAAATTTCAGCGCGAAACTCCGAAGAATCTCTTTACTGCAGAACCCCCCAAAAAAGGCCGGAGAACGAAAAGCCGCGTGAATTTCAACTACAATAATTCGGTTATCACAGATATCCAAGACACATTTTCCGAACATGTCTTCTTCAACTAAAATTCCGTCTTTCAAAATGAGTTCAGTTTTTAACAGGAACCCTGGGTTTCGCCTTGTACCCAGCGTACTTCAACCTCGCTTTCAAACCCGTGACAATCGTTGAACTTCCGGGAAACGCAGAAACTCCGCCGAACATCGTGTCCGTCTCTGGATAAAAATGATAATACAATTGTAAAAAATAAATACTCATCGAAAAATAAGACGAGATTCCGCAAAATAAAGCAAGACAATTCAATTTCATCACAGGTGCCAACGTGCACAAAAATTAGGCATGAAATCTTCGCAATATTTTTCCCCATGCCCGAACAAATAAAAACATAAAATAACTCACGTGGATGGAAACGAGTGGGTTCATGAATAACGTGCAAATTCGGCGGTAAGTCGATATCCTTCGTCATTTCCAAAGGATTGCGAACGTCGATTTCAGTCTTGTAAAAATCCCTGGTTTCAGCAGGACTATTAACACGATGAAGCATTGAATTGGGCACCCGGTGGTTGAATGCCTTGTCGCAAGCATGCAGAAACTTCCACTTTTGGCTGAGATCCGGGAATTGGGCTTCTTCTCCAACGCCTACCCCGAAAACGTCTTCCTTCAATTGGGTTATTTTGGCGTCAACATCCACAGGCGGACGGTATGGCTTGTAATTACGCAGAAACCTGAAAATTGCACGAAAAAATTGTCAAGATTTCAAAAGAAGGTTCTTCGCGACAAATGGACAAAAGTTTTATGTTTCAACCCCCCCCCCCCCCCAAAAAAGAAACGACTTCGGGCATTTAATAAAAATTGTTAAAAAATTCCTTTAAATAAATCGATAAACGGCCTCGTAAGAAAAAGCGTAGATTCTGAGCTATAGAAATTTCACTAAAACGAATTTGCAAAACGTATTACAACGAAATTATTTATTTCTGTGGGTTTTTGCTTTTAACCACGGCATCCCTTCAGATAATTCTTAATCAACTTTGCTCTCAATTTTTATTCCCTAAAAATAAAAGAGCTTTAAAAATATGCAGACGCAAAAAATGCTTGTACAGTATTCACACAAATATAAGCTGGCATTTTCAATATATTTTTTTCAATTTTAAAAGCTAGAAAAAAATGGGTTGCTTATGTTCGCATATTTATGCAATTCGCGGAAATTTTTAATTAAATCAGGAAATCTTCCTGATCGCAGTCCACAGAATGATCCAACACTTCTTTTCTTTAGTCATTTTGAAATTGAAGTTTGGAAAAAATTTTTAAAAAATGATCAGTTCTTAGCACTTCAAGTCATTGGGTAAAAGGGAAGTTGTGTGAAACAAGTTTTCCTTCACTGGGGAAAACTGCCATTTTAGCAGGAATTTTAGGTTCCTGAAAAAATCAGAACACTAGAAAAGTTAGTGGGTGATTACATTCGCCTAATAATGGAATTTTAATTTTTTGCATGAAACATCTCGAGGAAGTGCTTATTCTTGCAAAAATACTGTGATTGTTTAAAAAAAATTAACAAGCTTTCAAGCACCACAAAATGTTTTTTTTTTAACAAAGCAGTCAACTTAATTTTATAAGGAACAAGAAAAAAATGAGCCATTTCACAAAACTTTGCCAACAGAATATTCAATTAACAAACAAACATCCCATCAAAACGGGTTACTTGGGCATTCTGCTAACTTGGGCATTATTTTAATTACAAAAATAGCTTTCATTTTCAATTTTGAATTAAAATAAATAAATTGCGCATTAAATCACAGAAGACATACCCTCGGGCAGCGAGGATCTCGGCATCGAAGTCGCTTTGTCTCGGACGTGGAAGAATTCCATCAGCAAACGAGTTGTCACTTCGAGTTGTCATTTCGGATTGAGAAGCCAGCTTTTCAAGATCGACGCTTTCCGTATTTTCCGTTTTCTTCGCCGGCTTTTTAAAGAAACTTATCCCGCGCACCGGAACGCGCGATTGCAACACAACTCGCATCGAACAACGGATCATTTCTTTCCGACTATTTTAAAGAAAACGGATTTGCTTATCTTGAAGAAAAAGAGGGAGAGAGGAGCAAATATAATTAGTCAAGACACGGCACATAAGCAGCCATAACAACGGCCAGGCCAAAGATTTCGGATGAAATCGGCCATGAGAAAATCAGCCTGAACTCTTGAAACAAAACAACAGAACAGCCTACATATTCGAAAAATGTCAACTTAATTGTCTAAAGATTTTTCAGCATTCAAAAGGGAACAGGAAGATAGCCCCACGAAAATTCTGCAGCTATAAATTCAGCCATTCGGTAGATGCTTTGAAATTTAGCAAAATAAGCGGGCACACGAAGTAAAAAAAAATAGCTGAAAAGATGGTCTATTAGTTAGCCAGAGCCAAAAAGCGTAATTTTTTCCATAAATTAATTCACTAAAAATTCAACCAGGCATCAACGAACTTTTCAAATACTCTACCGTAAATGTGGACTCTAAAGAATGCGAGGGTTCTAACAAAAGTTCGCCAAATATCAATTAAAATGGCGCATAATCGAGCTGAAAAAAAAGTATTCTTCAGGGAAAACGTTTTCTTTGGCACAAAAAAATAATCAGCCCCGTTTGACAATTTTCTTTGAATGTTTCGCAAAGTTCACCCAAGCAGAGTTTTGCGCTCCACTCAAAAGATGAGGCACCCTTCCCGCAGATTTTTTTTTTTTTTTTTAGCCCAGCTTTCCCCTCAGAATTCTCGAAATCAATGTGGTATTCATTCTAAGGATTGCCTCCAGGTCCTCCAAGGCAATTCCGCCATTTTCATCAACAGCCGCCACATTGGCCGCCACTTCGGCGGCTGTGAAGGTCGAAGCCCGACCAAATCATCTTGTTTCATTCATATTCTTTAAATTCTCAACATTCATCTATCCTCCAATTGGCCGAAAATGTTAGTATTTCTTCATCAAACATTGGGAAAGTTAAAAAGATCTTTCCCATGGTATTTCTCCAACTTGGCAATTTCCAAGTCTGCTGGCTTTTTTTTCCAGTGTACCAAAAATAAGATTCATTGCGCGTGTGGCTTCTTGGGCTTGAGCCCAACTCATCGAAAAATTACTTTCTTCTCTTCTAACAGTGTGCGATTTTATTAATAATCGATTCATGCTTATTCAAAGCTTACAGAGCATTGATTCAAACAATCATGTTATTTGTCGATGACTAGGATTTAGTCTCCGTCTCAGGCTCCGCCAGATTATCCTCAGCTTAAACAGAGATACTCGCCATTAGCTCATCAAGTTTTCCCTGACTGAGCAATTCAGCCTCCCCCAATGTCCTACCAACAGCACTGCCCAGAACCTCGTCCAACAAGGTGTACAACAGATGCTCGTCAGTCACGAATTTGGCCCCACGCAGGGCCAAGAAATAGGCGTCAGTCTGCAATTGCTTCAATGCCTCTGCAGAGAAGGTACACAATCGCACAGATTCGCCCAGGGCCTTGGTCATTATGCAAATGATCAACGTCATCACGCTGTCCCGACGGGGATGAACGCGGGAATAAAATTCGGGACAGTCGACAAACAAGCGATTCAATCGTTGAACGAGTTGCTTTTCGGAAGCAACGTCATTTGGCGAAGAGATTGGCGGGGTACTGGCACCGGAAGCGAGTTGCAGCACAGAGGCTGATGCCGGGGGAAGAATTCCTGCAAAAAAAATCAAATCAAATTGTTCACCAAAGAATTGAAAGGAATGTTAGTGCACATTCATACGGTATTTGTACAGTATACATACAAGGGTTGTCCCACTGCCGGGCGTCCTTGGGGGATTTCAACAATAAAAATTGAAGAAAAAGAAACAGGATCAAAATTTTCCTCACGATTTTTCAAGCATTTGCTATGTTTTTCAAGATAAATTTGGCATTTCAAGATTGTGAGAAACATTAACGCACATGCATATACAGTATACATACAAGGGTTGTCCTACTGCTGCGCGTCCTTGGGTTTCTAAAATTAAAAAATATAATAACGTCCAAAATTCTCCTCCTGAGGCTTTCAAGCATTTACTATTTTTTCCCAAGATAAATTTGGCAATGTAAGAAATATTAGAGCACATGCATATTTACATATTACAAGTAAAAGGTGTGTCCCAATGCTGCGCATCCTTAAAATTGAAAACATTAAAACTAAAAAAATCGTCCAAAATTCTCCTCCTGATGCTTTTCAAGCATTTGCTGTACTGTATTTTCCTAGATAAATTTGGCATCTCAGAATAATGATAAATATTGAAGGACTTGCTTATTTGTATAGTATACTGTGCAGAAAAGGTTTGTCCTTGGGATTACGATCATCAATAATTGATAAAAAAAAACATCCAAACTTTTCCTCATTATATTTAAAGCTTTTGCCCTTTTTTCCAAGATTTAAGAATTTTTTCAAGACATAGCATAATGAAAACTTTCAAGTTATGGACTATCATTTCACAATATGCAGAACATTTTTCAAGAGAGTTAGAAATTTGAGCTTTTGTAACACGGAGTATTATGTTTGGCGCACCTGGGGAGAGCTATAAAAATTCGGATCATCATGCAATCATGCATATAATACAGTGAGTCCTTGAACAACACACACCTTAGGTCTTAGCAACAAATATCTTACAAACTCAGGTATGGCCGCCATTTTGCCTTGAGCAAAAAAAAAAGAAGGAAAAAGATTTTAAAAAATCCAAGAATTTTTCTTCCATTAAAAATTCTAAAATTGATAACAAGTTTGTGTTTTCACAATATCCCACTCCAAAATCGGGAAAAATGTCAAAAAATTAATTCAAAAATAAAAATCATGAGGAAATTTGAGTTTTCATTGCGGTTCCAATTTTGCATCCTTTTAATAATTTTCAATTGTTTTCTTTACATTCTTGCATGTTTATTCATTTTTCATGCCCATTTTCATTATTTTAACTTCATATTTACTGAAATCTGGAACCAAATTAAACGATTTCCCATTGATTACTATGAAAATTGCGCCTCGCATAAAAAATACCTTGATCATATTAGGTTCGTTGCTCTATTATACTTTCGCACCGAAATGAATGTAAGTCCTCGCATTCGGCGTTTGTCGGACAACAGGGTCCGACTCATCAGGCAACAAAAGCACGTCAACGTAAAAATCCGTCACGCCCAGATCAACAACCACGTGTTTCACGCCACCAGATTTCATTTGCCGACCCATGGAAGCAAACCCAGCGCTGGCAATTTTTCCCAAAGCCACGCCTTGAAGGAATGCGAACCTATCAACTAATTTCCTGCCCATTTCGATCATCGTTTCACAAACGTTCACGTCCATCGTTGGTGGGGTTGGCGGAGTTTTCTCTCCGCTCTTCGTTTCTGCATCGTCTTCGGAATCAGTGACGGAAAAGGGGTTTTGGAATTTATCCACCATCTGGCACATCAATGGCATCAACAACAAAAAAACGAAATTTTGTCAATGTTGCACTAATTAATAAATTATACTATTGCGCATTAGTATAATTATTCAAGTGGCAAAAAAAAAATTTCATGACATTCTGAAGAGAATTTCTTTCATATAACACCAATTGAATTGTATATAATGCAAGTCTGTGGGAAAACAAGACTTGACTTAAACACGCTCTTGATGCACCAAATATGTCCACATCTGGGGGTCTCACTTGTAATAGAAAGACCCCCACATGCGGACACCTTGACATGGGGACAATTATTTTTCAATTAAAAAATCATTAAAAAAACCCCAACATGTGGACACTGACTTGACGTGAAGACATTGCATGATAAAATTGCGAAGGAATTTTAAGAAAATTGACTTTTATTAGGCTTTATTGCAAGAAACAGATATTTCCAACCCTGAGATCTATGCAAGAAAAATTCTTTGGTCCTGTTCCCATCACTTTCCCATCCATTCAGCTAATTAAAAAATTACCTTCAGCACAGAGGATTTCCTTCTCTATTTGTCACTTGGATGTTATTATTACAGATGCCAACATTTCAATGAACTGTACAGGGGTATACTATTCAATGCTCCAAATGCTCTTATTGGGTTGAAAATATATTCACTGAATCAAATTCAAGTGGCAACAACTTTTTTTTCATGGAATTCTGAAGAGTATTTCTTCCATAAAACACGAATTAAAAATTATGTAATGTAAGTCTATGGGAAAACAAGACTGGACAGGGACAATTCAACTTAAGGACACTCTTGATGCGCCAATTATGTCCACATCTGGGGGTTTCACTTACCATTTCGGTACTTTCCTGTTATCTCAGTACCCATTTTTCTTTGTCTCGTGAATTCAGTATTTGTTAGGTTAGGTTAGGTCAGGTTATATTAATTGAAAGATATTTGTAAATGACATAACCTGACCTAACCGCCTCCCAAAATCAGTTTCAGCAGAATGCGGAAAAATGAAATTCACAGTCTCTGGTAGGTGCACGGAAAGTAGGAACTGAGATAACAGGAAAGTACCGAAACTTCACGTAGTGCCTCGCAATTCAACCCTAATCTGTTGCCAAACTAAGGTTGAATTGCGAGGTACCACATGTACTGGAACGTCCTTGACCGATAGTTTCGATAAATGTACACTGCATTATGCTTTAGAAAAATTTCCCGCGGACCCGCAGAAAAGGTTGATCACGGGGTTGGGCACCACTGCACTACTACATCAACTGACCGTGGTGAACATGTAGGGCACGAGACACCGTTCATACTCGCGACACACGCGATAAAACACCAACAGCATCACCGGAGGCACGTCGTCGTCGTCACCGTCGCACAACTTGTCCACATTCGACCAAAACCGCTTCAAATACTCGTAACCCATGCGCTGAAGGACGCATTTCTTGAAGCGGGCACAGAACCCGGTTTTCGGCGAAGCAAAGGAAACCCCGGGTCCGAGAAAGGCCTGCAAAGGGTCCAAAGAAACCCGCCACTGGCCTTCCAGTGCGTACACGAGACTCTTGAGCAACGCGTTGATTTTGTCTCTTAGTCTGGGCTTGGATTCCTCATCGGGGATTTGCAAGAGGATCACGTCCAGCTGGTGTTTTATGCGGTTAATTTGCGAGTCCAAGTGGAATTGGATTGCGTCCAGCTGAGTTATGCAGCAGAGGTCAGAGATGCGAAGGACTTGTTCCATGAGCCTCTTGACACAATGAGACCCAGGCAGAACTGATGTTATTTGCTGGTAAAGGCAATTGTAATGAGTAGCCAAGGATTCCAGTCGCTTGTGCTTCACTTCGCACTCGGCGAAACTTTCAGCGCAATTCAGCAGACGATTCAGAGTATCTGAATTATTCAAGTTAACAATAAGAATCTGAAGTACTGTACTGTACTGTATACTCAAGTAGTCATCTACACTTTTCTTCTCGAGGTTAATTTTAATTCATCTCAAGAAAATTACGCAGGTGTCGCTCCAATCCAATTTGTAGTAGAATTACACTAATATTCAATTAGTAGGAGAAAGAGGCTTCATGTTTCACAAATCAAGTAGGGGGGTTGGACAGAAAAGTATGACACACTGGTACTTTCCTGTTATATCTGTACCTCATTTGTAGACCTCACTAGCATCCAGACAAATCTTTAGGACAAGTTCATAATCACAACAACCTACCAGAAACTGTGAATTTTATTTTTCTGCATTCTGCTGAAACTGATTTTGGGAGGCGGTTAGGTAAAGTTAGGTTAGGTCAGGTTATGTTAGGTAAAAGATATTTCTAACTGAGTCAGGTTATGTAAGTTAGAAATATCTTTTACCTAACCTAACTTTACCTAACTGCCTCCCAAAATCAGTTTAAGCAGAAACCCAAAGAAAGCAGAAACTGATTTTTGGAGGCAGTTAGGTGAAGTTAGGTTAGGTCAGGTTAAATTAGTCAGAGGGAAGGTACAGAAATAACAGGAAAGTAGGTTCAGGGATAACAGGAAAGTAGGTACAGAGATAACAGGAAAGTAGGTACAGAGATAACAGGAAAGTAGGTACAGAGATAACAGGAAAGTACCTTTGTCTTTTGTTAGACTTGACTATTTCTATTTATTTTATTTTTTTGCAAGAAATTCTCACAACGAACCTTCGCAAAAAGCAAACATTTGATACCGTTCCTGGGTCACCAGGACAAACGTACTCTCAAAAAACCTCATCATTTCGTGCACATTATTCAAGAAAGTGCGCGTTGAATTTTGCACAAACTCTCCGAATCCCGCGCTGCGATCAAACGGCAGCCACTTGAAATGCTGCTCATCCATTTCCGCCGCTTCCACGCACTCGACACTAGATCCCAAATGTTTCCCGAATTGACTCAAAAACAATCGGCACAAATCCGAGTGCGGTTCACCCAGCTTCTCCAAACACTTGAGCCACTTCATCAGGTCTTCCGGACTCGCATCGTCATTCAAGCACCGAGTTCTCAGCCACGTTTTCAACACTTCACCGGAAAACTGAATTTCGCGCCATAAATCCAGCTTTTCACTAGTCGTCGAGTTTTCGCACGCACTCAATTCCGCTTCCAATTCGCCCCGAAAATCCCGATTCCACTCGGAAGTCGAACCTTTTCCGAAAATTCTAGCACTTCCGAATAACATCATTCCGTGCTTTCGTCCGAGAAGGAATTCACTCACGGCTTTGTCGACATCCCCGCGAGAAATCGCTCGGGATACGATCCCGGGTAATGATTTGGCCGCCTCGAGATCACCGATTTCCTTTTGTATTGTATTCAAAGCGATGAACTTGGATTGATTTGAATCGGATATTCCTTCATTTTCGGTATTTAAAGCCGTGTTGATGCGCTTAAGCAGTGTCTCGAGCGATGACTGAATGGCATCGTAGTTCCTGAGATAATCCTCGGCTAAGCCACAAGCTTTCGAAAAAGCATCGTATTGTTGGACGATCCCTTCGTCTCTCTGAAAAATAGAGATTACTGCGCCGTTAATTTGAAATTAAGAATTATTCATACAATATGCGGGAGAAGTTTAACCACACTTGTACCAAAAAATCGAGCCAAGGAGGTTTCGGATCAGGGAAACTAGCCTTTTTGTTGGGTGAGAGAAGAGTTTGGAGAAATTAGAATTGGTGAAACTCTGCACCTTAAATTGCTTCTTGAGTAAGTTGACAGGATGCCAAAATCGCCAGGCAAGGGTTTATTTGACCACTAGTCCTTCAGGTCCATTCAAAACACATCAAATTACATTATTATTGTGTTATCATAGAATTAATTAGGAGTAATTAAATAATTAATTATCCTAATTTCACTAATTGATATACCTGTAATTCGTTTTAGCCACTTACCACAAGACAAATGATGAATAAACCATAGCATTTGCGTACAGTATTTTCAAGCGGAAAATGCCGAATTCAATATTCTTTAGCATGAAATTTGAAGTGATTTCGAAAATTTTCCTAATTTTTTCCACCATTTTAAAGAAAAGATGTATAACTACGGTTTTACCTTGTATTGTTGAATGGCAAAGAATTCTAGAGTTCAAGCTCAAAAGTTGCTAAAAGTTGTTCTAAATTTTTCAAGTCACAAAAATATCTTCATGCGAAATAATTTCCTGATATAAGGCTTGTTTTTCCTCCTAAAATTTTTCTGTGCATTTTCCTTCCAGTGGGTCTTTCGTTATGCGAAGACTCACCGTAAAGTACTGTACTACAAGTATACTAACAAAAGAATTACCGTACTTGAACGGAAAGCTTTCCGAAGTCAGCTTCCAATGCAACAGAACAATTTCTAATCAAGTCCAAATTTTCGCGCTTCACGATGGCTTGAAAAAGGTCTTCAGCAGAAAACCGCGGATCTTCCGGAATTTCCTCGACGATCCCTGATGCAAAAAAACGCCAATTCTCAAGCAAGGAAAGGAAAGAAAAAACAAAGAAATCTACGAACCCATCGCGAAGAAAAAAACCTGCACGGCTTTTCGCAGACAGAGCGAGAAAGAAAAAAAACCCCAGATCCTAATAAAAACGGAATTAATGAGAAACCAGCGGAACTTCGCCGAGAGTGCAAGACTAAAAAAAAACAAAAGACGTGGATTAACCCCCAGCGAAATTCAATGCACCCCGATCGACTCGATTTATTATTGGCATATACTGCGGTGAAGACGCTGTGATGCGAGTGGCGTTCCTGCGTGAACCCTGAGTTGGCGGCAATGGGTGGGACTGGGGGTGTGGGGCGGAGTGGGGCTCATCATCGGCGCCTTGATTCCGATCGCCGTCATTCAGCGACGAGACTGCGACCAGCTGGACCAACTTCTTCAACAAGTAAGCATTCGTGAAACTACAGTGAGACCGCATGTCACAAGGTGCGTATTCAATCAACAGAAGTAAGAGGGTTCTAACAAAAGTTCTCGGAATAGAAACCACTCTAGAGTTCACTCTTTTTTCTTTTCAAGCGTAATTTCCGCTCACTTGAACGTTTTCGCGATCTGCAAACACTAACACACACACACACACACACACATTTTCGATCACTTCCGTTTCCTTCAACTCCCAGGATCTGCAAAAAAAAATTGTCAACTTTCAGTTCGCTCGGAAATGGTGTAATCAAATGTTTTAATTCATTGCATTCACGGAACCCGATGCATCCATACAAGTACGAAAACGAATGAAATTTCCAAGACGGGAAAAATACAACTCAAGCGAGGATATTGAAATGTTCCATGGAATTCAAATGTATTTCCACACCTTTCAGAAGATCACACCGAATAAACGTGGTTCCCGTGCATGCGACCCGTTGAAGCATAGGAAGTTAGATCCAGAAAAATATCCTGTTGCACCAGCCCCGATAACGAATGTAGATTTGTCTGAGTTGAACGCGAACTGAAGCATTTCAACAGAAAACTAGTCCCGCGAGAATGATTTCAATTTGAAAAGGAAACTGCAAAAATGATCGGATAAGGCACTGATTTTGCTGGAAACACTTTTAATCAGAAAAACTCAATCGATAGCAAAAGAATTGTTTTTAAAAGACTGCAAAAAACATTCCAAGCAGAAAATTTCGTAGCAATAGATGGATCAGAAAAACTCTTGACTATGAAAGAATAATTTCAAGAAGACCTGCAGAAGCCAGAAAATTTTGCTGAATGGATTTCTACCCAAAGACCGCAAACGTTTGTTACAAAGATATTATTCCCGAAGAACATTTGATGAAAGAATGTATCAGTAACTTCGTTGGCAGTGATTTCTTCACTTGGCTCAGAAACCAGACGGTCTTCGTAATCCAACGGAAAAGAAAGTACAGTAGCAGCAAAAATAACAGCAACACATGTTCAGTGCAATATAAAAAAAGGGAGGGGTCTTCCACCAAAGGGATTCTTCTCTGTTGACCAAAAAAAAAAAAAAGGACTAGAGAACCACAATGTCATCGGTTCCTTCGTCGACTCGTTTCCGCCGCCGCCTCCGTTTCGCACCTTTCGCACCACTGCCGCCTTCATCGTCGTCCAGGACGACCAATTCCGCCACATCGGCGGCGTCTCCAATCTCCACCACTTCGTCCGATCTCTGCGGGACTCGAGCACCACCTTTCCGTCTTTGACGCCGTCGCGTGGGAATGATCTGAATTTCGTCATCCTCGTCCACGTCTTGCAGCACTTGAATGTCGTCGGGGGCGCTCGGTGGCGGCGGAAGAGATTCTTCTCCGACGCCTATTCGAAGATCCGCCTCGCCAACGATGCCCGTGGCGTGGGCACGAATTAAACGGATTCGCAATCGCTCCGCACCTGCTGGCTCCAAGGAAGTTGGTGGCATGTCGATTGCGTTACATGCCGGACACACCTGCGAGATTTCAACACAAACCAGAAATAACGCATTTGAGCACCAACTGCACCTGGTTCTCTGGTCCTAAAATTTAGATATTGTAGTTTAGGGGAACTTTACTATATCCACTTTACTAAATTAAAAAAAATCTAAAATCTGCTTTGAAAATCGAACAAATCCGTATCAAAATTTCGACTGTAATTTAATTAATCATCCATTTTTCAACCGGTTTTTATTTTCTAATCTGTTGAAAATATCACATAGCTAGCAAGCATTACGCGCACCTAAACTTTTTGAATTTTGAAACAATTGCATTTCTGTTAATAATACGCATCCTCTCTTTTATTCCCCACTGGATTTTGAAAAAAGGTACGCGTCGCAGTTTTGCTGTCATTGGCTTGATAATTAACAGAGCTGGATTCTTCAAAAACTGGACTTGCCATTATTATATCAAAAAATGAATAAAAATTTGAATAATTAATTGTACAACTAGTTTTCGGTCGAATGAAATAACCTCTAAGAACCCTTATTGACTACTTTAACATAAGACCCATTAATTTAATTACGCAGTTTTTTTTTTTTTTTTGCTTCAAGACGGGAAGAAATTCTCCAGCCAATTCAGAAGGCACCTAGATTACATCCATTTCGTTTAGGTTAGAATACGTTCATTATACACTATTCAAACTTCTGTCACAAAAATAATCGTCATGAATAACTCCAAAAAAATCAGGATTATACCTCTTCTGCGATTTAACTGAAAATTTCAGCAAGACTTCGATTCTACGTCTAACATTTTTCGTTTTAAAACATTATGGCTAGAGGAATTCGTGGTCTCTCCCTACGTGTCTTAAAATGCCACAAAATAAATTACGCCATCGAATCTAAGACTCGATATATTTGGAAAAATCTAGGCGCTACATTTTATAGTAAGCAGAAACTTTGTGACTCGACGTGAAATCGGCTCATGAGAAACGGACACTTCTACTCAAAAAAAAAAGGGGAAGACACGTTCGAAATCATGAAGAATCACGAATCAAATCATTCCAAGGCTCCCGAAAGAAAAAAAGAGAAATGATGGAAAAGGGAAGGAATCTCACAGCTTCTTCGATCAACTTCGGTCGGATGCAGTCGTCGCAAAATGACTGATTGCAACACGGCAGTTTCACAGCATCCTTGGCATAGTCGTCACAAATAGGACACACCAACTCGGGTTCTCTGTTTTCCTTTTGCAACCTGCGCTTTGATTCTTCGCTTTCGTCATCGAGAGCAGCGAAAGGCGGAGGATCTCTCTTCTTTTCTTTGTACGCCTCATCAGCGGTTTTCATCACAGCGTATTCTCCTGTCGGGGTCAGCATGGCTCCAGGAACATCAGGACCTTCCACCTGGAAATAAATTATGAAGAAAAGAAAATATGCAGCAAAATATCGCTACAAGGAATCAATTGTGACCTTGCATAACCCTTGGTTGAAACCAGAATTTCTTAGTAACGAGCCTCAAATAACCTTACTGGTATGACGAGAGGAATACAAAAATTGAATTCGTTCTCAACTATAATTCGCTATAACAATATGCGTTCTGACAAGATTTTATTGCATACGTAGTACTGTATCTAGTTACAAAGAATTTGTTTTTACGGTCTCTGTCCAATAGCAACCATGTTACTTCAATTTCGCTTGAAATAATTTTTTATAACGAAGCTTTTCAAGACTCCATAAGCTTCGATGAAACAAGATCCTACAGCATTCGTGAAATAATTCTTTCTAGCAAAATGGAAATTCTCATGGGAAAAGTAAAGCATTTCTAACAATGTACAATTTATTTAAAATTTTAATTAATCGCAATAATATAAATTCGTGGCCTTCACAGTATAGTTCAACAAGGTTGAAAAATAATCGTGGCGGAAAAACGCAACCATTATTCCATGAAAGTTCAACTGAAACCCCATTAAATAATTGAGTGAAGGCAGGATAAATTCTAAACATTTCAGAGTTCGTGGAAATAAGAGAATATTGTACCACTTTATCTACCGGAGACATCTACTCTTCAACATCGCAATGTTTCAATTTAATGGACTAACTTTTTGGACATCCTCTACGTTTATAAAAAAAAACATTAAAATACCCGCCTTGAATTTATACATTGAAATGTTCTGAGATAATCTCGGGTAACAAAATTAGTGAACATTTTTAGAACACAAAATAAATGTTCCCACGAAATTTTGAGCGTCATTTATAAACTTCATCAAAGCGAGGAACGACGAAAAGAGAAAAATTCATGTAGTGTGTGCACTGTAGTCCGGGGATCACCTTTTTCAAAAAACTTGCGGGGATCCCAGTTGAGCGCTTTGTTTCCATGTCAGGATAGGGGCAGTTTCGAATCCAATGCCCACGTCTTTTACACCGATGACACACGTATCCTTGCGGCACTGGCCCATGTTGTCCAGCTCCACGAATTCTCACATATCTAAAATAATAATAATAAACATAAAATACATCGTTCCTCAAGAATGAATAAAAAATTAGGGAAACGCGCATTTGTGTTGAAGAGAAAAAAAGACTATTTTTTACGAAATTTTAATTGGTGATATTCTATGCCTTGAATTAATTATAACATGCATTGCCAGGATGCTTGACTTCGAGGCAAGGGTTTATTTTCCCAATTGATATTTTAATTTCTTTCGAAAAACATCTACTGTATTAAACTTTTATTGCTTTTTCTCTTCCTGCATCAATCAAATAATGGCCAACAGGCGTACAGAAAATTCGACTCGAGGCGGTTCAAGGAGAAAAGCTTTATAGTTTGGATTATTTTAAATGCATTTTTATTCAGGAGGAAATGCAAATAGGGACGTGAAAAAATTTTGGAAATAGGTAGGTTTCGAGTTTTTGAGATTCAACTCATTAAATTACTTGTCGTCACAAAATTGTGCTGTAATTTTGCCATAGTTACTGAAAACAACACTTCACTTGCCGAGAAGGGTCATAATCCAATGTGGACTGGATCATCATAGCCCTGATGCGATCCTCTTCCGTGGCATTTGGATCATCTCCCGCCAAATCCGCTTTGAACGCCAACGGCTTCGGCAACCCTGCCCCATAGTTTTCATAATTCGCCAAAATCTCCTCTGGAGTTTGCGGCACGTTCCGATTGTGCTTCGAAAACGTCGGGGGCGCTCGGTGGCGGCGGAAGAGATTCTTCTCCGACGCCTATTCGAAGATCCGCCTCGCCAACGATGCCCGTGGCGTGGGCACGAATTAAACGGATTCGCAATCGCTCCGCACCTGCTGGTTCCAAGGAAGTTGGTGGCATGTCGATTGCGTTACATGCCGGACACACCTGCGAGATTTTAACACAAACCAGAAATAACGCATTTGAGCACCAACTGCACCTGGTTCTCTGGTCCTAAAATTTAGATACAGTATTAAAAAAAATCTAAAATCTGCTTTGAAAATCGAATAAATCCGTATCAAAATTTCGATTGTAATTAAATTAATCATTCATTTTTCAAAAAATTTTTTTCCGAATTTGCTGAAAATGTCATATAGCTAGCAAGCACTGTGGGCACCTAAACTTTTTGAATTTTGAAACATTTGTATTTCTGTTAATAATACGCATCCTCTCTTTTATTCCCCCACTTCATTTTGAAAGAAGGTGCGCGTCGTACTAGAGTTTTGCTGTCATGGGCTTGATAATTTACTGAGCAGGATTCTTCAAAAACTTGACTTGCCATTATTGTGATAACAATAAACGAATACAAAATTGGAATAATTAATTGTACAAAAATTTTTCAATTGAATGAAATAACCTCGTAATGAATACTTCAACATAAGACCCCATCGATTTAATTATGCACAGTTTTTTTTTTTTTTTTTTTTTTTTTTTTTTTTGGAAAAATAAGCCCCCATCGATTTAATTATGCACAGTTTTTTTTTTTTTTTTTTTTTTGCTTCAAGACGGGAAAAAATTTGTCAGACAATTCAGAAGGTACCTAGATTACATCTATTTCGTTTAGGTTAAAATACGATCATTATATTCAAGCTTCCGTCAAAAACATAATCGTCATGAATAACTCCAACAAAAACAGGATTCTACTTCTGTAATTTAACTGAAAATGTCAGCAAGACTTCGATTTTACGTCGAACATTTTTCGTTTTAAAATATTATGGCTAGAGGAATTCGTGGTCTCTACCTACCTGTCTCAAAATGCCACAAAATATATTACGCCATCGAATCTACGACTCGATATATTTGCTCATAGATTTGGAAAAATCTAGGCGCTACATTTTTTAGTAAACAGAAACTTTGTGACCCGACGTGAAATCGGCTCATGAGAAACGGACACTTCTACTCAAAAAAAAAGGGGGAAGACATGTTCGAAATCATGAAGAATCACGAATCAAATCATTCCAACGCTCCCAAACGAAAAAAAGAGATATGATGGAAAAGGGAAGGAATCTCACAGCTTCTTCGATCAACTTCGGTCGGATGCAGTCGTCGCAAAATGACTGATTGCAACACGGCAGTTTCACAGCATCCTTGGCATAGTCGTCACAAATGGGACACACCAACTCGGGTTCCCTGTTTTCCTTTTGCAACCTGCGCTTCGATTCTTCGCTTTCGTCATCGAGAGCAGCGAAAGGCGGAGGATCTCTCTTCTTTTCTTTGTACGCCTCATCAGCGGTTTTCATCACAGCGTATTCTCCTGTCGGGGTCAGCATGGCTCCAGGAACATCAGGACCTTCCACCTGGAAAGAAATGATGAAGAAAATAAAATATACAGCAAAATATCGCTTAAGGAATCAATTGTGACCTTGCATAACCCTTGGTTGAAACTAGAAATTCTTTGTAACGAGCCTCAAATAACCTTACTGGTATGACGAGAGGAATAAAAAAATTGAATTCGTTCTCAACTATAATTCGCTATAACGATATGCGTTCTGACGAGATTTTATTGCATACGTAGTACTCTTATCTAGTTACAAAGAATTTGTTTTTACGGTCTCTGTCCAATAGCCACAATGTTACTTTTAATTTCGCTTGATCTAATTTTTTATAGCGAAGCTTTTCAAGATCCAGAAAGCTTCGATGAAATCAAGATCCTACAGTATTCGTGAAAATATAATTCTTCCTAGCAAAATAGGAATTCTCATAGGAAAAGTAAAGCATTTCTAACAAGGTATATTTAAAATTTTAATTAATTGCACGCAGTAATTTATATAAATTCGTGGCCTTCACAGTATAGTTGAACAAGGTTGAAAAATAATCGTGGCAGAAAAACGCAACCATTATTCCATGAAAGTTCAACTGAAACCCCATTAAATAATTGAGTGAAGGCAGGATAAATTCTAAACATTTCAGATTTTGTGGAACTAACAGAATATTGTACCACTTTATCTACCAGCGACATCTACTCTTTAACATCGCAATGTTTCAATTTAATGGACTGACTTTTCGGACATCCTCTACGTTTATAAAAAAAACACTAAAATACCCGACTTGAATTTATACATTGAAATGTTCTGAGATAATCTCGGGTAACGAAATTAGTGAACATTTTTAGAACACAAAATAAAAGTTCCCACGAAATTTTGAGCGCCATTTATAAATTTCATCAAAGCGAGGAACGACGATAAGAGAAAAATTCATGTAGTGTGTACACTGTAGTCCGAGGATCACCTTTTTCAAAAAACTTGCGGGGATCCCGGTTGAGCGCTTTGTTTCCATGTCAGGATAGGGGCAGTTTCGAATCCAATGCCCACGTCTTTTACACCGATGACACACGTATCCTTGCGGCACTGGCCCATGTTGTCCAGCTCCACGAATTCTCACATATCTATAAAAATAATAATAAATATAAAATGAATAGTTCCTCAAAAATGAATAAAAAAATATGAGAAACCCGTATTCGTGTTGAAGAAAAAAAAAAGAATTAAAGGAAATTGTAGTCGGTGATACTCTATGCCTTGACTTAATTTTAACATGCATTGCCAGGATGCCTGACTTTGAGGCAAGGGTTCATTTGCCCAATTGATATTTTAATTTCTTTCGAAAAACATCTACTGTATTACACTTTTATTTCTTTTTCTCTTTCCTGCATCAATCAAATAATGGCCAACAGGCGAACAGAAAATTCGACTCCTCAAGGCGGTTTAAGAAGAAAAGCTTTATAGTTTAGTTTATTTTAAATCCATTTTTATTCCGAAGGTAATTCAAACAGGGACGTGAATTAATTTTGGAAATAGGGAGGTTCCGAGTTATTGAGATTCAACTCATTAAATTACTTGTCACAAAAGTTTAATGTAGTTTTGCCTTAGTTACTGAAAACAACACTTCACTTGCCGAGAAGGGTCATAATCCAATGTGGACTGGATCATCATAGCCCTGATGCGATCCTCTTCCGTTGCATTTGGATCATCTCCCGCCAAATCCGCTTTGAACGCCAACGGCTTCGGCAACCCTGCCCCATAGTTTTCATAATTCGCCAAAATCTCCTCTGGAGTTTGCGGCACGTTCCGATTGTGCTTCGAAAAGTTGGAATTCGGAACGCGTTGCACAATTAGCGACGTGTTCCGAGGAATCAACGTGCCGTCGTTTGAGTACAACTCGTCGGTTTCCGCATTGCGAATTTGCAACTCCGAGTCGCGTCCTTTGCCCAGCCGTTTTTGCTCGCATATTGTCTGCTTGAGGTCGGCGATGGAAATGTGAAGTCCGTCGAGTTTGATGGTGTCTGACGTCGCCGACGACTTGAACTTGTAGTACACGGACATGACCACCGATTCGCGTTTGAACGACACTCAAAAAATCCTTTTCGTTGAAAATAATTCCACCGCAGCTGGAAGAGGTTTGAGTAAAATTTTAGGAAGGGCTTTAGTCTTGTATTTAACAACTACAAAGGTCGCGCCTCACATTGAATTGGACCCGAGGCGCCTTTGGACTTTACTGCTCAAGAACAGATCTTAAGATCTAACTCTTCAATCCGTGTCCTTGTTCAGCATTCTTGACAATAGAAACCTACCTTTCGTGGCAAAAAGGATGCGAGATTCCCTCCAAAGCCTTGAGAAAATTCTGAGAAAAGATGTTCTACTCTTTTAAGACTCTTTTCTACAAGATTTCAAATTTGAAAACTACTTACTTTCTTACGTACCGCAGTTATACTCTTTACAAAGAGCTGGCAGAAGCCTTGCGTAAGTTGAGCCTGTGAGGCAGCTCACTACATAATTCAGCTAAATTTTCCGCGAATTAGACTCGTATTTGCGAACGTCACATTCTATAACAGACCCGTGCTTGCATTTTACATCAAGTTATTCATTCATGCTGAAAGAATACAGTATTTTAAACCACATATTCAAATAAACGAGGGGTCTAAAAAATATTTCAATTCATATCCCGAGAAATAATGTTACACCTCGTTATTGAATTCGTGAAACTTCACGGAACATACTGACATAACTACTACAGCTTATCTCTTTAAAAAGTAGGGGATAAATTTGTGATCAATTCGGAAGAAAATGCGTGCATGAATAATAAATTTCAAGTTGCTTATGATACTAAATCGAATAGTGAACGGCATCAGAATTCGGAAGCTGAAAATAAAATTGAGCTTAGTGTCATGAAAACATGAAGCAAGGAAAAAGCAGATTCGTCCTGATTAACTTCAATTGGAGCGTCTGTTTCGCACATGCCGCGACGGTGGCATCATCAAGATAAATCATCAGCAGAATACACATTCACCGATAAACCCAGCGAAAGAATTTTCATGGCATGAACAATCGCAAATCCCGGGATGTCCTATAGAAAATCGCGCACGAAAACTTTTTTTTTTCATCCTAAAAAGGGGCCTGCAAAATTCTTGAAGCACTGCTTGTGATACAAGAATGAGTTAACAAAATTAGTTGAATTACAATTGTGGGCAAATTTTAATGGCATCGAAGACAACAGTGCTTCGTACGAAGTATCATTCCAATTCGGCTTCATTTTTTTTTCGAGTACATTTCGAGCATTCCCTGAAATAAAACCTAGAAGTTTGAACGGTACTTGCATTTTCATTAGAATTTATTCCCAGATTTTCTTACATCTGTATTAAATCTTGTGCACCCTTTTGAATTTCCAATGTCAATCATTACGAAAGAAAACTAAATTTGAACTAGAATTCCTCATACAATTGCAAGATTAAAGAAAGAAAAATAATTTAATTCATGGACCTTTTCCACTGAACATCACATTTTTAAACACTCTGTATCCCGGTCTGGGCGTTCATGAACGAAAATCACAAAACAAATCCAACAATCCCGTGATCAAAACCAAATAATTCGAAGCTTCATGTCGTTTCACAATCGGATCTGAATCGAACAGCTTCACATTTCTCCAGTCTGTAAATAAAATAAAGAACTGTTTCAGTTTCGATGAAAGATAGCAGCAAAAGTCAGAACTTACCCAATTTCAAGCTCATGAGACCGATTTAAAACTATACACTAAGCAATTTTACGAAAATCATCCCACTGAATTCCAACACTCCGATTTTAATTCCAACAACAATAAAAAATAAAATGCGTAGAAAAAGTCAGCTTCCAAACCGCATCTCCTGAAAAATAGATTCAAAAATGATTGTGAAGTCATCTCAGTATTAATGGCAATTTTTCTTTTCAGGTGGAAGAAGCCAACAATGATTTGGAGCGACTCAACAAAACCATTGATAGGCGAACCGACGAGAAATGATGACTAGAAAACTTATCCACAAAATACGCCCGACAGAGAATCGCCGCAATTCCGACAATTTTGGCAACAGAACATTTCTTTCGCTTTGCCAATGCAATTTAATCTGAAAAATAAAGAGGAACAAAATCGCGTGAATCACTTATTCAAATGGAAAAATTCTCCGTATAAAAAGAAAGCCTCTCGCAAAAGTTCACGGGAAGACCCAAAAGGAATCATATTAGGGCACTTCACTAGTGGTGAAACAATGGAAAAATTGTTTCACCGTACAATTTTTCCGAAATTGAGTCGAGAACTCTTAAATAAAATATAATGAGGAGAAATGTCTAAGATAACTATGATGCAAGACGGCGATCCAAAGAACTTTTGTCATGAAACTCCAACAAGATGAATTCTCATACAGTTCAGCGCGCTATTTTTATTCGTAGTCACGAAAAATTTCCGATTGCGAACATATCACGTAAATATGACAAATTTCGTTCCCATCACAAAAGATATCCCAAGTATTAAAGAAAATAAATTCGCACAGCAGAGGTCCCGAAATCACGGTAGCTTGTGCCTGTAAGCTCGATTTGGCACCGAATCACATAGTTTCAATCAATAACCATAAATACAGTACTGTCAATCATTATGAATAATTGAATGCCAAAAATCCCCGACTAGAATACCAATCCGTTCCCATGCTCCAAAGAAAAATACTGCATTGCACACATGGCGATCATGGACAACGATAAGGACCAAAAAGGCAGCTGAGCAAGGATCAGGTTTGATGGAAAACAGCACGATTTGAATTGCTGTGTTTTTTTTATTGGATTTATTCAAATCGAATAAAATCTTCGTCCTTCAGAACCAGAGAGCAGTTCAAACAATAAACCGGCAGAGTCCCAACGGGTCCTTCTCGCGATTCCACAGGGTTGTTGCAAAATTTGCAAAGGCCTCGCTTTCCACAACCGTTTTGCAGCCATTTCTCGATTTTCTGCAGAACAAAATGAAAAAATCAAGCACCCCAAGCTATATCATTTAAAGCGGTATTCACCATTAAAAACACAACTTCCCTCCATGTTCACTCAAATTCTTCTCTCTTTCAATTACCAAAAGTTCGTCCACAAGATAATAAGATTCCACAAGATAATAATGTAATTCATAGCCAACAAGTTTCGCTACGGGATCGAATAAAAATTCATGCATTCTTCTCACTTAGTTGTTCTACACCCAGAACTATCAAAATTCAAACGATCTTTGGGGTGAAATAATTCAGGAACGGTACAATTATTCGAAAGATGAAACACTTTTTTCTCCGTTTGAAACTTTTAAAAAATTAATTCCGAAGATTCTAGAAAGAAGTACATTTTCCTCATGCATAGATTATAAGACGACTTCTGCTCGTGAAACCTGACGACGATTTTAGCCCAAGGTGAAAATCTAGATTTTTTTTTTAAACAAAATGCTAATGCGTTTATTCTAATACGAATATGCTTTGTTAACGATACTCATGAAAATTTGAAAAATGCAAAGGTGCAAAATGGAAACTCACACTTTCGGAAGATTTCATCGATAGCTGGTGTAACTCGCAAGATTCGGCGATGTGAAAATGACATCGACATAACAAGCACACTTCCACACTGCACTTCTCGCAAATGACGCGGATTTCTTTCGGGTCCTTCTCACCAGCGATCAGACCAGTGCAACCGAATGTTGGACAAGGAAACAGCACGTAAGTTTTGTTGGCTTTGATGTTCAGGAATTTGACAATTTTCTCCTCAAAGATTTTCCCCGCTTCCGGATCCAATACGGAAAAGAGCATCACTCCAAGCTTCAATTCGGTGCAAGTCAACAGATGGGTGCAATCCTGGAATTCGAATCAATTTTTCTAGTTCAAATGCACCGTTAAAAAAGATGAGTACAATACTGTAAAATGAACGTAAAGTATACAGGCCAATGTACAGACAGACAGGAATACGCCTGAACATTACAATTGGTAAACAATTTGTAGATCCGAAGCTTCCTAGGTTCAGCGGCCATTTCAAAAATAAAATGTAAAAAATTCCTTTTAAAATAAATAATGTGCTCTGCATCAGTTCGAACATTTCCGTTTACGGTACATTAATTTTGAGGCAAATTAATCATTCTAGAGGGAGATTCTATCGAAATTCAACTGTATAAGTAGTACTGTTCCACCATTTCAGCACTTTCCGCAATATTTATAGACTTCCCGTCAAAAAATCCCTTTTCTCCCTCACGAAGACCCCTTCAATTTTTTCACAAATGATTTTATTGAAAGGAAAATTACAGTCCTTCAGGAAGAATTACGGACTTCGAAAAGCAACAAAACCTGACCTTTGCGAAGCATCGAAGCAACATCGGAGACCAGAAGCAGAGAGTCAAGAAACACGATTTGCAGTAATCATGCCCGCATTCGAGTTGAACAGAGTTTTCAACCTCTTTTGAACAAAATACGCAGACTCCATCTTCTTGAACCATTTTCGAATTTTCGGCAATCTGTTCCAAGTGAGCAACAAGCTGTTCGGCCAACTAGAGGATTAAGATACGGACTCACATCAGTGTACGAATACAACACACATCAAAAGAAATTTAATCGTGTCAAGCTTTTTTTTGAATTGTCGAAATTTCGAAATTAGAATTCGGATGAAGAACTGTCGGTGGATTTTAAACCGATAGTTTTCAACCAAACAATGGTTGCTTCTCTATGATTTTATCTTACAAATTTTGAAAATTTGATACTTATCATCGAGCAAATGCGAGATCTTTGTCGCGAAAAACGGAGATACCCCCAAGAAACGTGATTCACGGCCTCAGGCGATCGGCTGTTTCCCACATCACAGCACACAAGTTTCAATAGTCATTTATTTCGTTTAGAAAATAACAAACCTCATCATTTTCTTCGTTCTCCAAGTACGTCAGCTTGAACGAACACTTGATCAAGTCAACCCAGGTGCGTAAATCGGGTCGAACGTTATCCGAGAAACGAATCCCCAACTTCGACGCCGTGAGGCCAATCAAACCAGAAGAAACGTCAAAATCGTGCGTTTTCAGCGATAAATTGGGATAGCCGCCCGCCCTAAAAATATAGAACACGGTATAATGAAATACTGTATCGGGTGTTGAAACAATTCTAATCGCGGTGGAAAAATCTGCTTCCCGAAATGCTAAAGGCACACAGCTTACACGATCTTCCGCGTGCACAGAGGTGCAGTATAATTGAAAAAACGTTTCCATGTCAATTTGGGTAACAGGAGTAATTTTTAAGAACTCGTGATCTGTAAAAGAATTTTTTTTACTTTTCCCAATTCAAGCAATTGTTAAAAAAAAATCTAAAGATTCACGAGCAATATTGATGAGAATTACCGCGAGAAACTCGAACTGGATCCCAAAAATATTGAATATACTGAATTTCTCTTGTTTCAGAAGTTCTCCAGAATTTCACAATTTTTCTTAAATTAATGCGGGAACGAATCAAATAAAAATGAAAAACAAAATCGTATATGTAGTATTTACTTCAAGACCCGTTTCTAGACTTGAAAGCTTTCCAAATTCAGAACGATTACTTCAATCATCTTAATGGAAGGGGTGAGTTTTCCAAGGAAAACTTACGGAGTACCAGATTTTTCCAAGAACTTCGGAACAGTCGGTTTTCCCAACTGGAAGAAAATCATTCGTTCCTCCATCAATTGTTTACCGGCCTCCGTGTTCCTCAACCACTGATGAACATTTTCCGGGATATTCACAATGACCCCGGAAAATACGGATCCAACAGCCTTGACCACTCTGTTGAGTTTCCCCAATAAGTTGCTTCCAATACGGAGGCTGACGAACTCGGAAACCCCAGAATCGTCGCTCGTGAGCCAAGCAACATCACCTTGGCCTTTCTCGAGAACAATTGCGTTCAGTACTTCAAAGGCTTTTTCGTTCCCGTATAGTTTTCTCAAAATGGGGATTTCGACAGTGAAGTCACAATCGATCAATACTTCGGGGATCCTCAGGTCTGCCATTATTCGCTCCACACACAGCAAGACTTCCAGGGGCTCCGCCATCAGGATACTTCCTCGTCCATTCCCCTCCTATCAACGAGAAAAAATATTGTGCAAAAAATCTAGAGCTTTCTCTTCAAAAATCACTGAAAAATCCCACTCGAAAAATTTGAAAAACTTTTTACACAGCAAAATGTTCGGCTCAGTACTTTTCCGAATCTTTCTTGTCGATCATCACTTTCAAGTCAGTTTTCCTCATCAAGGAAAAACTCAAATCTTTGAAACAACAAAAGCAGATTCCTCTCCTCATTTAAGGTAGTTTTTGTTTCAATTTTTCCCTGCCTCCAATTGCTCCTGTCTAAAATTTTATGTTTTCTCCAGTTTCAAGTTGTCTGTCTCGATTTGTCCGTATCCCGTCATGCACACAACATTGTACATTCAAAATTGAAGGGAAATAACAAGAAATACTCATGTACTTCTACCCGAATCGGAAAGCTACCTCAACTAAATGGAAGACATTTGGTTTGAAAATGCTTTAATTAACAAAGGCACCACAAAGTTTGATCTGTATAATAGCCTTAACTGAACAGAAACAGGAAAAATAATACAAGAATGCATCACAACTCACAGATTCAGCGGGATGATCAAATTGAACGGAATATTTGTTCAATGCCAGCTTGGGCTATATTCTCTTGTTGAGGAAGAAGTGAAAGTGCTAACATAAACTCCGCAAGAAAAGGAACATAGGGTCGCACTAAAACTGCAGGAAGTACAGTTGTAGTGTTCGGATTTACGTTTAAAAAAAAATCTTGAAAATTTAACTACCTTCTAGAAAATCAGTCGTTTTGAAAATTTAGGTCTAAATAAAAACCCTGAATCTTCCAGTTTTTCAGAGGAAGGCTGATATTTTCGTTCTTTTGTGGTAGAATTAATCCTACAAAAAGTTATTTAATTCTACCACAAAAGAACGAAAATATCAGCCTTATTGTCCACAACCGGTTTTTCTTTACATTTGTGGCTACCGTGACTCAAAGAAAGAAAGACAACCTGACATTCTAAATGCTCTATTCAAAAAAATAAAAAATAACCATTTTTTAGCTCGCAAAGGAAAAAGATGACGCAAATCTGTTGTGAGAAAGCTCCCGTCAACTAGGTGCAGCACTTAAAACTTTGAAAATGGATTTCAATAGGTCTTGAACTTGTTCGATGCAAGGGGACCTACAAGGAAGCAACACTGACGGTAATGCGACAAAATCTGACGAAATTGGACAAGTTTTTGGCGTTTGACCGACGGATTGAAGTAACAAGAAAACTGAGGAATTATGTTCAAAATCAAGAAGCTTACCTGAAAAGCGGCACGAATAGCCGATGAATGAACGAGAGGAGGAAAACCAACGACTTCCAGCTTTGCTGCATCATCAGCTGACCGCAATACCTTGACTGGAAAATAATTCTGGTTCATTTCAGAGATCCAGACGGAAACAAAGAAATCTTCCCCGGAAACCCTGTCAAAGGCGTATTTTGCTGATTCTCCATCCGGAAATTCCACCACGGCCCTCCCGTTGGGATTATCCAAAGGCCAAAGAAGACGGACTGAACCAACTCCACGCCAGGAAAACTTTTTCTCAATCCCAGGTTCCGAAGGAGAAATCATAATTGAATTTCCGCGCAATTTCTTCAACTTTTCCGCATCTTTGGGTTTTCCGAACTCCACGAATAACGAACTTCCGACATTTTCTTTTTTCGCAGCTCGGAGAACCGCACCGCATTCATTTAGAATTTGGAAATCGCCTAGTTCGTCTTCCGGGAGTTCGTATTCGACACAAGTCCCCGGCAAACTTTCAAAATATTTCAAAGCCACCGAATATTCTTTCTGAGCGCGTTTCATGGATATGCAGAAACCCTTAGGAAGGATGCTTAAACGTATCAAATCTCGAGGATTCGTTTGCGGCATCATTACGGCATCATATTTCTTAAAAGCAGGCTCATTTCCAGTGGGTTTGAGCGACAGACCCTCATTTCCGGTCAGAGGAGGGAAAGGCTTGGTGGACACTTGGTAAGGTACCAAATTTCCCGGGGGCGGAACGACGTTTCCTTCAAATTTTTTCGCACCCCTTCTCAGAGTTCTGGACTTTCTCGGATTCTTGGCGGGTACATTCTTCTCAGATTGACGAAAAATTTTTTCTTCACTTGGTTTTGGCACGAATGGTTTCATCTCAACAGGTTTGTTTCCGGGATCCCCGTTGAAAACTTTGTCTTCAGCAGGATGATTTTCAGGCTCATTTCCATCTCAGATTGACGAACAATTTTTTCTTCACTTGGTTTTGGCACGAATGGTTTCATCTCAACAGGTTTGTTTCCGGGATCCCCGTTGAAAACTTTGTCTTCAGCAGGATGATTTTCAGGCTCATTTCCGGTAGTTTTGAGGGATGGCACTTCCTTTCCGATTATAGGCTTGAAGGGTTCGGTGGACTCGGATTGACTGATGGGAAGCAAATCGCTTGGTGCAGTGCCTTCCTGTGGTGAACAATCTGATCTAGATTTATTGTTATCGTTCGTCGAAGACGGAAAAGATTTCCCTTTCCAGTTTTTCACGCTAAATCGTTGCGTCTCCGAATATTTAAAAGACACCATCTGCGACGTTCTGCGACGAAACACGGGGTTTCCACTAGGATTAGGAATGAATGGTTTCATTGGAACAACTTTGTTTCCAGGATTCCCGTCGAAAACGTTGTCTTTACCAAGTTGAACATTCGGTAAGTTCTCACGAATAGCGGGCACTTCTTGAATGAACTGGCCATAAGAGTGCATCTGGAACGGAGTGGGCAACAGAGGCGGTCTTTGAACAACTCCGAGGTTCAACAAAGGAACTTTTTCTTCAGCACGATGATCTTGCCCCATACGCTTCATAGCAGTATGAACTGGCCATAAGAGTGCATCTGGAACGGAGTGGGCAACAGAGGCGGTCTTTGAACAACTCCGAGGTTCAACAAAGGAACTTTTTCTTCAGCACGATGATCTTGCCCCATACGCTTCATAGCAGTGTGTTTTTCTTCCGCTGGAGGCTTTCTTTCGAGACTTTCGCGAGGAGGTTGCTTCATTTCGATGGAAGGATTGGAGGAATCCCGGTTCAGATTCGCATCTTTCGGCGCAGTGATTTTATGAGGCCGATTATGCGTCGTGGAATTTTTGAAATGACTCCGGTTCGGTCTATCGAATTTTACACCTCTCAAGTTCGTCCCACGCGGTGACTGAGACTTCCAATGCTTTGAGGGAATATTCTGAGTTGACTGCAGAACAACAAGCTCTCTAGCCGAATTCGGCATCAAAGGTACAACTGGCACAACTTTGTTGGCAGGATTTCCAAAGGTCGATTTCTCTTTCACTAGGTGAGCATTAGCACTCATGCCATTTGCAGACGCATTTGGCATCAATTGGTAAACATCAGGCTCGACGACGAAAGGATTTGTCAACAAAGGTGGCCTTTGTTCTACTCTGGAATTCACATGACGAGCGTTTCGTTCTGCGAGATGATCTTTTCTCAGCACTGAAGAGTTTGGAAAAACGTTGCCGTCCGAGGATACTCCAGCCATCCTATTTTTCAACTGATTCGAGGAATGAAGATCTTCGCCTGTTTTTGCCTTCAAAAGTTCGTCCTTCCCATGGGTAGCCTTCATCCCGGGTTGAATTTCGGGAGTCGTTGTTTCCAGGTTGGAAGCAGAAGCCTCAGAATCTGGATCAACGGTTTCAACTCCAATCCAACGACCAATCGATCGGAATTCCTGGGTCAAAGCATCTATCGCCTTCTCAACTTCCAGAGCAGGGATTGTAACCACAGCATATTTGTCATTCATGTTGATCATATCTCCGCGATACTTCAAAACCGTGTTCCTAAATCTTTGTCTTTCCGCGAAAAATAACATCCCGCCTTCTTCATTCTTCTGGAAGATACGGAGTTGACAATTTTCAGTGTCCGTCACGTGATTCACACACTCAGGTTTCGCGGACAAGAATTTGGAGAAAGGCAAGGTTTGACTGGCCAACAGCGACAGGTCGGGTATTTCTGTGGCACCCGGATGGACGATAAGGATTTCCACCTTGAGTCGATACCGTATACGATTGAGAAGGGCTCTGAAACTTCCGTTGCCGCTGAGCAGGACTATCTGCGGGTCGTTCACATCCGGTACAGCGGGAATGTCTTCGGATATTCCGAGCCCAGTCAACCACTTGATGACTGATGCATAGATTTTGCCCACGATTTCGGATTCCGGGCAAACAATCAGCTCGTTCACATCTTCTGAAGTGACAGCGTCCTGCAATTTAACACGGACACAGACATTGAATCGTGCTTTTCAGACGCAGATTTATTCGAACTCTTCGGCCGACCGAGAATGCAACACTGTTCGTTGGATTGGGTAGTTTTATTTCTTTGATTTGGCTCTTGATTATTATTTCATATTTTAAAAACATTTGAGTCAAAATCTGGAACATTTGGGTCAATTTCTGGAAAAGTGACTACAGCAGCTGTGGTTCTCTTTTTAGAATGACAAATAACTTCCAGTCATTCTAGACCGGATCTTAGTTCGGAATAACAAGAAAAATTGGCGATAACCCATCAACTGCTAAAAAGTCAATTGTCTGAGGAGTGCTAGGTTTTTAATGCTTAAGGCGTTAATATTCGGACCCTTTTCGTGTGTTCAAAATTTTTATTCCCCGTTAATGAAGACGTCGTCGCAGATACGGAAAATTCTTTTCTGTCTATCGATGCCCCCAACTTGGAAACGCCGTTTGGATCTACAGACAAATTTAAAGAAAAATCATTTCTTCTAAGCTTTTGTTTCACATTGGAAATTAGCTACAAAGACACCAAGGATTAATTTTCACAAGCAAGCCAAAAAACACTCACGGATAGCCGAGCTTCAGAGACTCTAGCTTCATCAACCGCGACACCGAAATAGGAAAGCTTGAAACTCTTCTCAGCAATGAATTCGTTCTTCAGCCTGACGCAGCACGCTTGGGCATCAGCTTCGGAAGTGTTGGGAGGGAAAGAACAGGAAGTCAGATCCCAAAAGAGACCCACGTTTCTGACTCGTGGAGTGGAAGCGGACGAACCCATGGTTCAACGATTGGCTTATCACTTCTTAACACAGGAACACGCGGAAGATCGCAACCATTTCACATGTGAAAATAAAAACGTTGCAGGAGAGACAGTGAAGAAAGACCTGGCGTGAAATAAAAAAACAGGAGAAATTACCCTAGAGAAGCATTGAAAGTTTGAAACAACAACAAAAAGGCAAGGAGCCGAATTTGCAACGATAAAAACACTGATGAAACCCAACTACACTTTAACTGATGAGGAAATAATCGCGTTTCGCACAGATGAATAAATCTTTCACGACACTGACATTTGGCAATAAATCCACTTCCACCTGCAAAAATTAAAGGCGAGTTCATAAAAAAAATTGAACAAGGGAACAAAGTAAAATTGTAGTCAAATTAACGTCACGAATTCCCCGAGGACGCAGGATACCATCAGTTTGATAAAACCCATTACCCAGAAACCATCGAATTTTTGCTTCCTGCGAAAAAATGTTTCCAAATCAGACCGTTCGCACCATAGAAATTTCGACACATTTGGAAGTCTTTCGTTTCTATTTTCGTCACTGTGTTCAACGCACGCATTAATCAGTCGGGTACAAATGACTTCTTCACAAAAACGAAAGTACTCCGTTCGAATTTTTTTTTAAAGATACCCATCACCTCCAGAGATTCTGAAATATTTCAGAACAGTCTTTTGACCTGGAAAAATTATAATAGCAATGAATCGAAAAATACATTCATTCTTCTGTAATATTTGGACATTTTTCACATCGCGTTTACCCATATGTTCATCTGGAGCACAGTACAGTGCTTTCGATTTTGTCCATCAAATTCAGGAAAAATACTGTTCTTGCGTTCAATCATTCTTCGAAAAGGAACGAAGTGGCAGCGGCATTTACAAAAGCTCAGTGTCTGTATAGAAGAAAAGCATTTGCGAAGCTTATGCTTATTGGATCAGGTCTACTCGAGTGTGTAATCTACGTCTTTGTCAGTCAGAACCAGACTGCAGTTTAGACAATAAACAGGCAGGGTCTCGGGGCCTGCTCGCCATTCCACTGGATTACTGCAAAATCTGCAAACTCCTCGTTTCCCGAAACCGTCTCGCAGCCATTTCTTGATATTCTGTAAAACACGAGAATTCACAAGTTTTGAAACATTTATCCTAGTATTCCAAACAAAACGCAGACAGTAGCATCAAAATAATGAAAAAAATTCAAATTACTACATAGAGTCACGAGATACTTTTTCGTGCAGAAATTATTACTTTTCTTAAGTTTGTCATGAGTTCCGAACACAATTTTCTTCAAACTTCGACGCTGAATTTCTAGAAGAAAGGTAACAACTCGTTCCGCCATTTATTTGAGAAACAACAAAAGGGCGGACATTTATTTGCTCGAGTATTTTTAATAAATAACGGCAGAGCATCCAACCGATTAAAATAAATTGAACGTGACACGAACAGACTCTTGAATCTTGACGACTAATCTTACTGAATAATTTTGGCTTCCTTTACTTCAACAGGAACAAAACTAAATCTTTCCATCAAAAAAAGACTCGTCAATAATTGAGGTGAGTCAATAGTAAAGTACATGTCGAAAAATTCATCGACATAAACGCTGATCATCGGAAAAAAATTAAGAACAATTCAATTTTGAAAGATGTGCAATCGAAACTGGGTTCCTTTAAATGAGCATGAAAAATATAGGTGTTATTCCACGTAACCAGGAAGAGGGAAGAATCATAGATAGAAGAGTTCTCGACAGAAGTCATCTTTTCGGGATTCATAGCATACAGTATTTTGCGATTACATATTTGGAAAAATCAACATTTTTTCTGTAAAAAAGAGGAACATGACGCGAAAATAAATGCCTCTCAAAATGTTATGTTTTCCGGGAAACAAGCTTCTTCTCAAGTAAATATTTCTATGATTTTATTGCTTTCACTTCCGCATTATTTCGTGACAGTAAAATGGCACGATGAATCAAGAAGACTCACTTGTTTGGATGAATTCATTGATAACTGGTGCAACTCGCAGGACTCGGCAATGTGAAAATGACATCGACATAACAAGCACACTTCCACACTGCACTTCTCGCAAATGACGCGGATTTCTTTCGGGTCCTTCTCACCAGCGATCAAACCAGTGCAACCGAATGTCGGACAGGGAAACAGCACGTAATTTTTGTTGACTTTCATGTTCAGGAATCTGACGATTTTTTCCTCAAAGACTTTCCCCACTTCCGGATCCAATATGGAAAAGAGCAACAGCCCTTGCTTCAACTCGGTGCAAGTAAATCGATGCTTGCAATCCTGAAGAAGAAATGAATTCATTTACCAAGTATAAACGGAAATTCAATCGCTACTTTTAATAAATCAAAGAAATGCAGAAATTAGTCTGACTACGAATACTCTTCTCCTCCAACAGAAAAACGAGTCATTCCATCTGTAACATGTGCAGTACAGTAGTATAATTCATGGTTCTTCTCAGGAAAACAAAGACAATGCGCATCAACAATTTTACCAAAAATGCACATTAACATGCTTTTGAATGCTTACATTTTCATAAAAACAATCTGCTTTAGTCAAATTCGATTCTCAAATTAAATTCGTTGATCTCAAAATTTTTTAAACTTATTTGGTACATTTCCTTTTAAAATTTGTGTCGCTGATCTTCCTGAACACAAAACGTCGAACTCTTCACGAAGTTCCACACGTAATTCTTGGGTCAGATATCATAACAGACACGTCTGAAGTAAAAATAATGATAATTATCATATAGTTATGAGAGTCCTATTGAGGGCTGTCCAGGGTGCTCACATATTTTCAGAGCACTTCAGGTATTATAAAAATGCAGGTTTTTGGGTTTGATCAAATGATCAAGTTTCTTCTAATTCTTGAAGAATTTTACGAATATTTTTCAGCATAATTTTTTCGCAAACTAAAAAAGAAGTACTGTACAGTACTTCAACTTCCACGTCATTTGGAATGTTTAAAAAAGTCGAAATTGTTTAAAACTACATTTAGAAACATATAAATTAAACTTCATCTCCAGCATCTGAGAGATTTTTTTAAATCTGTACAGTACTGAGTGAGAAGGCTTCCTCATTTGTTAAAAAAAAATCGCCGGAACTGACCTTCGCGAAGCAACGCAGCAACATTGGAGACCAAAAAGCGAGCGTCAAAAAACACCGACTGCAGTATTTATGCCCGCATTCGAGTTGAACATATTTTTCATCTCCTTCGGTGCAAAAGACACAGACTCGATCGTCTTGATGAGATACCGAATTCTTCGCGATTTGTTCCAACTGCGCAAAAAGCTCTTGCGCCAACTTGAAAAAAGGGAATACTCAGATCAAAAATTCATTTCTCACGAGAACAAATTACCCGTAATTATTTAAATAAGACCCTCTTTTCATCCAAAACTTCAATCCAACTGCGCAAAAAGCTCTTGCGCCAACTTGAAAAAAGGGAATACTCAGATCAAAAATTCATTTCTCACGAGAACAAATTACCCGTAATTATTTAAATAAGACCCTCTTTTCATCCAAAACTTCATCCAGAAAAATTCATCAGCGTCCTGAAATTGATAGAACCTCACAGAAAAAGAATCAAGTCCTTGATTGGTTTTTTTCATCAACATGATCCTCTGTCAACACTAGGGACAGAACAATTCGAAAAATAAGGTTGAGTAAAAGTCCTAAAATCCTGCTTTACATGAGAAGTTCAGATACTTGAGTTTTGTGAAGATACTTGGATACTCAGATACTTTGTGATTGAAGCATGCATTTTGGAAATTAACGAAGGAACGATGCTCAACAAAACAATCACAAAAACAGATATTTCTAGGGTTAAAAAAAGCAGGTCTCGGAAGAGAAAATTTCAGGAGGGGAAAGCATATTCCTCTCTTGAAAATCTACTCCTTGCAGAACCGAAACAAAAAGGTTTAAATGTTTCTTCCCCGACGAAAACTCACCTCATCATTTTCTTCATTCTTCAACAACTTCGACGCCATAAGTCCAATCAAACCAGAAGAAACGTCAAAATTGTGCGTTTTCAGCGATAATGTGGGATAATTTTCCCTCCTAAAATAAACACAAAAAACTGGAATTACCACATAGTTTGATGAAGCCATTAAAAAAATGTTTGACTGCATCGAACATGGTTTTCTTATCCAATAAAAATATCCTGCAATCCCATCTTCTCGATTTTTTGAGAAACGAAACTTAAAGGAATTTTGCTAACAGAAAAAATAATTTTTCTGTGAACCAGATGTGTGAGAATCGGAAATTTCCTTAAAAGGTTTTAAGGTGTTGAATAGTTTTTTGTATAATTTTTATACATACGAAAATGCCTTCTCAAAATTATCACGCGCCACGCAGATTTATTAAGTTGGATGGAATAATAACATTTCACGGAAAATATCGTTGCTTCGATAAAAAAAAAGCCATTTCTGAGGGCGAATATTTTATACACTTCAGCAAACATTTCAAGTCACAATGGCAATAATAAAATGTTTATAAATTTTAAAAAATCTACACGAAAAGGAGGGTAAGGAAACGTGCAGCCTAACCTTTTTCAATTTAAAACCATTACTATGGTGATAGAATAGAAGTCGTTTCGTCCCTTAGGAAGCGTCTTTTGAATGGTTCGCGGCCGAAAAAGGTTTTTGAAACCTTGACAGCCGTTTCCCAGCTGGAAGAAAATCATTCGTTCCTCCATCAATTGTTTACCGGCCTCTGTGTTCCTCAACCACTGATGAACATTTTCCGGGATATTCACAACGACCCCGGAAAATAAGGATCCAACAGCCTTGACCACTCTGTTGAGTTTCCCCAATAAGTTGCTTCCAATACGGAGGCTAACGAACTCGGAAACTCCAGAATTGTCGCTGATAAGCCAAGAAACATCACCTTGTCCCTTCTCGAGAACAATGGCGTTCAGTACTTCAAAGGCTTTCGCGTTCATATATAGTTTTTTCGAAATGGGGATTTCGACAGTGAAGTCACAATCGATCAATACTCTGGGAATCTTAAGGTCTGCCATCATGTGTTCCACACACAGTAAGACTTCCAGAGGCTCCGCCATCAGAATAGTTCCTCGTCCATTCCCCTCCTATCAACAAAAGAATATGCTAAATATCTGAACTTCCTCTGGGAATATCAAAAAAATAAATACTGTATAAATATATTGTGTGTATATTTACAGTGGAATCTCGTTACAACAAACTCCTATAGACCTGGATAAAAATTCGTTACAACACAAATTTGTTGTATTGAGATATATAAAATTCTCCTAAAAAAATTATTCAAGTTCAGTTACGAGCATTTTACAGCAAAATTTTGATAGATGGACAGTATCAGTAGGAGAAACATGGAAAGGAATACATAAAATAATTAAAACTAAAAATTCGAACTAAAAAATTCCAGGAAAAAAGCATTTTCCCATCAAGAGAAAAACACTTCCTAATGCATAAGACATCTTCACCGGACAGAAAAGAAAACCACCATCATGAAGTATAGCGGAGAGTTAGAAAGAGATCGAAAAAAAACGAAAGGAAGAGAGGGAGAGAAACATGTGCTTCAAAGAAAGAACTAAATTTTTCAATCTGTAATTTTAAAAGATTTCCTCGAATAAATTCCATAGCAACGAGCCATTGGAAGAAATTTCTCAGAGAAAAGCGGAAATCAAAGCATTTTGGATAAACATGGAACTTAAGAGCACTAGAAATTAGAAAAGAAAGATTTTCTTTGCGGAAACATCCGGTTTTAAAACGCTTTCATAAAAAAAGGCGACTCAAAATTATGTATATTGGCCTAAACTGAACAGAAGCAGCAGGAATAATTACTACAGAAATTGATCACAACTTACCGATTCAGCAGGCTTATCAAATTGAATGGAATATTGTTTCAATGCCAGCTTCCCAATATAAGAGAACAACTGCTTCTTCACTTTCACGAATGTGTCTACGGCGTTCTTTCCCTTACATCCCATTGTAATATTGACGTCCTTCATGTCAACATCACGGGCCTGCAAAATATACATAAGCAGAAACTTTAATATGTTCTAACCATTGCCAATTTCATCGCTTATGAACAGAAGAATACAATGTAAAATGCTGAGGAACGCCTCCAATCCCCCCCAACAGACTAAGAGGATCAATAAGATTTCCTGAACACCACTCGCGAGGAATGCACCCACACAGAATCTGGAAAAATTGCTTCGAAAAAGTCCCTTCAACTATTAATGAAGTGTAAATTCCTTGACAAATCATTTGAATCGGTATTCTCTAAAAAAATCAGTTACGATGCATTTTCACCTTCAAAAATACATCCCTCACATCGATGGAAAAAAGGAAATATCTGACTGAAGCAACTGAAACAATCTGAGGAGCAATTATCATGACGATCATCATCATAATCCGAAGAACGCACCTCAAAAGCAGCAAGAATAGCCGATGAATGAACCAGAGGCGGGAATCCAACGACTTCCAGCTTTGCTACATCGAAGGCTGACTGTAACACCTGGACTGGAAAATAATTCTGGTGCATTTCAGAGATCCACACGGAAACAAAGAACTCTTCTCCGGAAACACTGTCAAAGGCGTATTTCGCTGATTCTCCATTCGGAAATTCCACCACGGCCCTCCCGTTGGGATTATCCAAAGGCCAAAGAAGACGGACTGAACCAACTCCACGCCAGGAAAACTTCTTCTTAATCCCAGGTTCCGAAGGAGAAATTACGATTGAATTTCCGCGTAATTTCTTCAACTTTTCCGCATCTTTGGGTTTTCCGAACTCCACGAATAACGAACTTCCGACATTTTCTTTTTTCGCAGCTCGGAGAACCGCACCGCATTCATTTAGAATTTGGAAATCGTCTAGTTCGTCTTCCGGGAGTTCGTATTCGACACAGGTCCCCGGCAAACTTTCAAAATATTTCAAAGCCACCGAATATTCCTTCTGAGCGCGTCTCATGGATATGCAGAAACCCTTAGGAAGGATGCTTAAACGGATCAAGTCTCGAGGATTCGTTTGCGGCATCATTGCTGCATCATATTTCTTGTAAGCAGGCTCATTTCCAGTGGGTTTGAGCGACAGACCCTCATTTCCGGTCAGAGCATTGAAAGGCTTGGTGGACACTTGGTCAGGAACCAAATTTCCCGGAATAGTGCCTACATGTGGCGAAATGTGCCTCCAGGACTTGTTGTAAAACTCTCGAGGGGGCGGAACAACGTTTCCTTCGAATTTGTTCGCACCCCGTGTCCGAGTTCTGGGCTTTCTCGGATACTTGGCAGGTACATTCTGCACCGATTGACAAAAAGTTTCTTCTTTACATGGGTTAGGCGCGAATGGTTTCACCTCAACAGGTTTGTTTCCGGGATTCCCGTAGAAAACTTCGCCTTCCGCAGGATGATCGTCGGTCTCATTCAGCACAATCTCGTCAGAAGCAGGCCCTACAACTGGATCAGGCAACAAAGGCGATCTTTTTACAGTTCCGGTTTTCACGACAGATGATTCCTCTTCTTCCGAATTTGGTCGATTCTCGGCAGGTGCATTGTGCACCGATTGACGAAAAGTATCTTCTTTACATGGGTTAGGCGGAACAGCTCTGTTTCCGGGATTCCGGTAGAAAACTTCGTCTTCAGCAAGATGATTTTCCGGCTCATTCTGCACAGTCTGGTCCGAAGCAGGCCCAACGACTGGAATGGGCAACAAAGGCGGTCTTTTTACAATTCCGGTTTTGACGAGAGATGATTCCTCTTTATCCGGAGGATTCACTCCGGGATCTAGGAACACTGCAACATCCTGTTTCTTCTCTACGGAATTCTTCTCGGTTTGTTTGAAAGGATCTTCTTCGAATTGTGTCGATTTATCTCGAGGAATCGAGTTTTCCGGTGCATGGGTTTCTTCCTGGAACTCAGTATTCCTCGTCCAGGTCTTATTGAAATGCTTTTGAGGAGACGGACCGGGTCTCCCAATGATTTTTCTCCTACCCCTCGAAGAGGCGTCCCAATGCTTTGGAGGAAGATTCTGCGCGAATTTCCAACCACCTGGTTCCCCACCTGGATTCGGAATCCATGGCTTTTTTGGCACCGTTGTGTTTCTCGCATTTGCATTGGGATATTTTAATTTGGCAGGGCGAGCAATAGGCATCCTCCTCGGACGTACGTCATGTCTAGATACATGGTCCGTCGATTGGCCCCAATCATCTTCAACAGCTGGATTTGTTGACTGACGAAGGTCACCTTCAGATACATTGTTCTTCAATTTGCTCCATTCATTGACAGGACAATCTGTTTCTTTTGCACGATGATCTTTTCTCTGCTCTAAAGAGTTTGAAAGAAAAGTACCGTCCAAGGATAGTCCAGACTCATTATTTTCCAAGTGATTAGAGGAATTCAGATCTTCGCCTGTTTTCGGCTTCAACAGTCTGTCCGTCCCAGGAATAGCCGTCATCCCGGGTTTAATTTCGGGCGTCGTTGTTTCCATGTCGGAAAAAGAAGCCTCAGAATCTGGATCAACGGTTTCAACCCCAATCTGACAACCACACGACCGGAATTCCTGGGTCAAAGCATCAACCGCCTTCTCAACTTCCAGAGCAGGGATTGTAACCACAGCATATCTGTCATTCATATTGATCATATCTCCGCGATACTTCAGAACCGTGTTCCTAAGTATTTCCGCGAAAAAGAACATCCCCCCTTCTCCATTTTTCAGGAAGATTCGGAGTTTACATTTTTCCGTGAATTTCGCTGAATCCACACATTCATGTTTCGCAGAACCAGGTGAAAAGAATTTGGAGAACGGCACAGTTCGAATAGCCAAAAGCGAAAGGTCGGGTGTTATTACGGCACCCGGATGAACGATGACCACTTCTACCTTCAACCGGAAGCGGATCCGATTGAGAAGGGCTCTGAAATTTTCGTTCCCACTGAGAAGGACAATCAGAGGGTTTTTCTTCTGCGGTATGGCAGGTCTATCGTCGGAAATTCCGTCCCCAGACAACCAATTGATGACCGATGCGGAGATTTTGCCGACGACTTCGTATTCTTGGCAAACCATCAGTTCGTTCACATCTTCCGTAACGACAGTCTCCTGAAATTCAACAGAAAAACGGGTTTAATCAAATGAAGCTTGAAACCTGAACAATTATCGTACAGTAGAGACATTATTATAATTTCCTCAGACAGCGTAAAATACTCTTTCCTGTCTAAAAACAGAGGATTTCAAGTTCAAAAAATTGAATACGCAGGGTTTACATTGACAGTTACATGAATATTCAGAGTATTTTGATCTTCATTCCTCAATCTACATGCCGATGCTTTCCCGCTTCTCCCTCGCTTACTCTGTAAAATTGAAAACACGATTCAGTGAATTTCCATAACAAAGGATCTCGTTATAAAGAACTTCTCGGTATAACGACATTTTTTCTTGGTCCCAGCAGTCTTTATATGGATAATGTTATGAAAATTTCTCTAGAACAAACTATATTTCCATTATAATCTCAGTACAACGAATTTTCGCTGTGATTCATGTGTGCATGAACCTTATTATTCGTTAATAATTTGAACAATACGGGGAAACGCAACATGTGTATAATTAAATAGCTTCAAAAAATATACAGTACATGCTAATCTTTCTGTAAAGAACATTTCAGGAAGTATGAAGCTCTAATCAAAATAATGTAGTATTCTCAGAAGTTAGAGATGACGAATTTGAAAATACAGTAGTATGTTTAAAAGAATACTGCCTTTTTCCAGGAACATACAGTTATTAATAAATAAATGATTTGCTCCTTCATACATTTTCTTTTTTTTTGTTTAGATTAAACTTCTATTAGGAAGTCCAATAACAGTATCTATCAAGTTATCTTTAGGAAATTTAAGAAAGGGAAGGTCTGAAAAAAAATTTGTTTTACATTTTGAAATCTTCAATAATACAAGTATCATCACAAGAAGTTATGCCAATTCTTCACACATCTGTTGTGAATTTACTTTAAAGCATTCAATACCTGTATACCATAAAATGTCAGCCCTAGAAGCTGAAAGAACCAAGAATCTCATAACGATTTTTCCCCAGGTCTACGGGAGTTCATTTGAACGGTATAAGAAAAATTTGGCCATCGAATGCACAGAGAAATACTTCTGCCGAACAAGCAATAAAAAACACTCACAGATAGCCGAGCTTCAGAGACTCTTGCTCCATCGACAGCGACACCGAAGTAGGAAAGCTTGCAATTCTTTCCAGCAACAAATTCCTTCTTCAGCAGGACGCAACACGCTCGGGCATCAGCTTCGGATGTATTCGGAGGAAAGGAACATGAAGTCAGATCCCAGAAGAGACCCACGTTTCTGACTCGTGGAACGGAATTGGTAGAACCCATTGGTGAATGACTGTCGTTTCAATTCCTACCACAGCCACACGGGGAACGTCACACTTTTTTTACACATGAAAAAATATATGCAGGAAAGACGGCGAAGAAAGACCTGGTGAACGAAAAAGGGAAAGAATTACATTTATGACGCAACGAAGCGGGAAGAAAGCAAGGAGCCGAAATTGTAATTACATACACTCGAAAAAAAAATACAATTCTACCGATGAAACAATCGCGTCTAACACTGATGCATAAATATCATCCGTTCCACCCGCAAATAAGAAAAAGCGAGGTCATAAAAAAATAATGAACAGGGTTTTTACACGGAACCAGATGAAATGTCCCAGTGAAATTAACATTGCGGATTCCTTGAGCACGCAGAATTTTATCATCGATTAAATCAATAAAACGAAAGTCATGGCATTCTTGCTTCTCGCGAAAAAAGTCGATTTTTCAAATCATGCGTAACGTATAAATTTTAACACATTTGGTGGACCATCTATTTTCGTGACTATTTTCCTGCCAATTCTAATTCGATGTTCCCAGTGCGAATGATCATCCGAAAAAAAATAGAAGATCACTCGGTGAATGCATATGTTCTGACCGTTGACCCCCATGGAAGCTCCATTCACCAACGGATCACATAATTTTGCTCACAATAATAAATGCAACAATTAAAAATATACATACATTCAGACATACCTCACGGTACACCGATACATTACCATCACCCTGGTGTACCCCCGAATCCGTTCAAGAAAAATATTTTTATAGTAAACGATAATTCAATTTTCGAAAAAGAACAAACATCATTTTCAGAATTCATGCATGGGTGGAAAAGAGCATGATTTCCACAGCTTATGCCTTTAATCAGGTTCATTCGAGACTGTAATCTACGTCTTCGTCAGTCAGAACCAAACAGCAGCTTAGACAATAAACGGGAAGAGTTTCACGAGCTCCTTCTCGCCTCTCCACTGGGTTTCTGCAGAATTTGCAAACACCTCGTTTTCCGCGACCATCTTGCAGCCATTTCTTGACATTCTGTATAATAAAAAAAAACAAACAAAAAAAACGAGTGAATAAAAGAGGGTTTAAATTTATTTTTAAAGCATTCCGAACGGTACCAAGACGGGTCATAAACGGAATGACAGGAAATTCTGAAATAGCAGACTAGCTAACTTAATCCACAAGCCCAATGCTCCACCAAAATGAATCCGTTTTTCTTTCACGCATATGATATTTCCACAGAACCAGACGCGTCTAAATTATGTTGGCAAAACTCAGTACCGGCTTAGTCCAAAATCCTGTTAGTATACGTTCCGTTAATTATCTTTCCGCGAATTCGGTCCAGCTTCATCAGACTATTCCTGTTTTTTTCTATGATAGTGTCAACTTTCTCATGGTAACAACACAGTTTTCGATTCGTTCACGCATTGAACACAAAAAATGAGCAGTTCATATAACGAGACGGAATAAAAACCGCATTTAAGCGAATATAAATAAGCACCCCTTTTCCTCGATTTTTATTTTTTCAATTGTTCGGGGAATAACCCCGATTAATATTAATTAGAATTGTCTTTCGGGGGGGGGGGGGGGTTTAACACGCAACAGCATTTGATCAGTTATTTTTTTAAGAGCAATTCTTTTCTTTTACCATTATTTAAATCATCAGACGACGAGATAAATTCGTAAAAAATAAAAGAAAACTCACTTGTTCAGATAAATCCATTGATAACTGGTGCAATCCGCAGGATTCTGCGATATGGAAATGACATCGGCACAACAAGCACAGTTCCACACTGCACTTCTCGCAAATGACGCGGATTTCTTTCGGGTCCTTCTCACCAGCGATCAAACCAGTGCAACCGAATGTCGGACAAGGAAACAGTACGTAATTTTTGTTGACTTTCATGTTCAGGAATTTGATGATTTTTTCTTCGAAGACTTTCCCCACTTCCGGATTTGATTTCGAGAAGAGCAACAGCCCTTTCTTCAATTCGGTGCACGTGAATCGATGCGCACAATCCTAGAGTACCGTAATTATGTTTCTCATTATAAATAGGAACTTCATCAAATCCATGTTTCCCAATGACCCAAGCAATAAAAATTTTAGGAATACAGTAAAGTATTACTCGTTCGCAGTGAACAATTTTTCTCCAATAATGGGATCAGTTCGGTATGCGACAGGAAGTAAAGGAAAGAAAAAACATTAATCTGATGGAAGAAGCTGTCGATAAATGAAAGCACAAATCAACTGCTCCGGCAGACAATAATGAACAGGAAAGACACGCTATTGATGCTTTAAAAATTGATCCAAACGCAAAATACATTCCAAATTTTGTGATTTTCAGCAAACAAAAATTGAGATGCAAGTCTTACCCGTGATTGGGTTTTTTGGACTTATTAAAAAAAATTGGGGCGCAGGTCTTACTCAAGGAGGGCAAGTGATGCTCAAGTAAATGCGGTATTTTGTTAGAATGAAAAAGATTTCTACATTTCGCTCGAAACAATTGCCAGAACTGACCTTTGAGAAGCAACGCAGCAACATCGGAGACCAAAAAGCGAGCGTTAAGAAACACAGACTGCAGTATTTATGCCCGCATTCGAGTTGAACAGATTTTTCATCGACCCCGACGCAGAAGACGCAACCTCGATCTCCCGGAACTGTTGAATCCTTCGCAATCTGTTCCAATTGCGTAACAAGCTGTTCCGCAAGCTAAAAAAAATGAAGACTTCTATAACGAGTGCGCTTCTGATGAGAACATACAATGCGCTCTTTTTCCAACATCCAACACACAAAAAATCGGTCAGCATCTTAAAATTGTCGTAATATCACAAATAATATTTTTTGAAGAATCGCGTGTCCATTCAAAAATTCTTTGGGAACGCGAGGTTAGAATTACTTGAAATATTGTACTGTATATGCACAACTAATGCACATCCACTTCCATGGCACAAAACAAGATGCAAAAAATCCTGATTTCTACTGAAAGCATGGAACAGAATGGAATGAACTTCTCTAGTTCATCAGATTTGAATAATGCAGAGTACAATAAAATAGCGTCTTCGATTCGCAAATGAACTACTAAAAATATATTTTCAAATTTGAGGCCCGAATATACGGGTGAGTATTCGATCAAATTGGCCTGATTTCTCAGAAAAAAATAAGTACATATTGGCACATTAAAAATTTATAATATTTGGAAACAATAAGACTCATCTCGATTGAGGATTAAAAAAAAACCATGTTCACAAATACGATCAAAAGAAGAGAAACTTCAACGAAGCAGAAGCATACTCATCTCTGCCAATCCACTCCTTGTAGAACCGAAACAAAAAGGTTTAAATGTTTCGTCGGGCTGCTTTTGATTGGAGTAGTAAAAGAAGGAAGAAGTGCATGCAGTCGAACTTGCTTCTTAACTAGTTCAGTTGGGTCCACGCATTTAGACCAGCTTGCAATAGGCTCTTTGCTTAGGGGTTGAACGACGCCATAAGTCCAATCAGGCCAGAAGATACGTCAAATTTGTGGGTTTTCGATGACAATGTTGGATAGCAGCTCATCCTACAGAAGACACGATAAGATTTCGTCATTCCTCGATGCAGTTGGCGAACAAGACATGCCTTGACAAAAAATTAATTATCGTAAAAGCAGTAAAAAATGATTGTCAAATGCAAGAAAAATATTTTGCTTGGTTTACAAGCTTTTTAAAATTCCTTCATGAAGCACAAGCCGACATCGAACTCGAGCTCGTCGTTTCACTTGAAAAGTGTCATGATCAAGATAAGCTGAACTGAAAATTATGTGTGAAAAAATCAATTTGAAGTCAGAAGAATGTATCGGAACTCATTCTTTCCTTCATAAAATCAATCATTGGGCTTTTTGAATGTTTCGGAGAGCAGTTCAACAACGAAATTGCACCAGAAGCCAGGAAGAGCATGATACAAAGATATTTTTCTCTAGAATATTGAACTTTCTTGTTGACAAGAAGCAGTATTACTACAAATCGGAGGGCACGAAATTAGGCCATGGATCTATTGTTGTTCAAGGTGTCCAGGAATTATTTCTTGATGGTGTTGTCCTTTTTATTGCCATTAGGTTTGTTTATATCTAAATGAAAGGACTGTGAGTTGGATGTGTTTACAACACTTTATTATACATAGGTTATATATTCACAACACAGTAAACATAAATATACATAAAACACTCAGCAATAAGACAAACTTCATGAAGGGAAGTTTGAATAATAATTGTCAAGTCTATATCACAAAACACAGGAGTCCCAATTTCAAAGTTAAGGGTTCAAGTCTAACTTTGCTTCTACACTCTAACCTTCACTGGGGAGCTCTGGGAGATCACTGGACAAGAATTCTGTGGAACACCGAATTGCACGCCTTTAAATACTTGATCAGGAATAGAATGAAACAGAATGAGCAAAAAGGGGATGCATATTTCATCAGCTTTTTGCCAGTGCCAATCTTTTGCTAAAAGCTTAATCCAGGGATTAAATCTAGGGGAAAAGCCAGATGTGATCTTTTAGCAGATTCATCACCTGTCATGCGGATACGATAAATTCCTAGTGGAATATTCTGAGCTGACCACAAAATGGGAGAAACAGGGAAAAGCAATTATTTCCTGTCATGGATTCTGGGGGTGACTTTTCCTTCTTTAACATTTCCATTTTTGGGGGAAGATAAGCTGGGCCAAAAATGGGGGAGGAATGGATTAGTCATTCCTGGGGGCAAACACATGAAAACAAAAACAGCACAGGAACTTTATTAAGAACCCAAAATTTATCAATTGGACCAAGTCCAAATATCTGAAATTTGGCAATTTATTAATTGAATGTAAATTTGAATATTTTTGGGAAAGGAATATTTTATTCCTTTCCTGG